TGCCCAAACTACGGCCCGTGGGCCGCATGTGGCCCCCTGAGACCATTTATCCGCCACCACCTCCGCCGCACTTCAGGAAGGGGCACCTGTTTCATTGGTGGTCAGTGAGAGGAGCACAGTATGTGGTGGCCTCTAATGGTCTGAGGGACAGTGAACTGGCCCCCTGTGTAAAAAGTTTGGGGACGCCTGCTCTAAACTATTCTAGTCTGGATGATGAGTTACGTTGTCACTTTAAGTAGAGTGTTCATTATTATTAATTTTTTTTGAGACAGAGTCTCACCCTGTCTCTCAGGCTGGAGTGCAATGGCACAATCTCAGCTCACCGCAACCTCTGCCTCCCGGGTTCAAGCAATTCTCCTGCCTTAGCCTCCTGAGTAGCTGGGATTACAGGCACACACCACCATGCCCAGCTAATTTTCTGTGTCTTTAGTAGAGACTGGGTTTCACCATGTTGGCCAGGCTGGTCTCAAACTAGTGACCTTGTGATCCACCCGCCTTGGCCTCCCAAAGTCCTGGGATTACAGGCGTGAGCCACCGCACCTGGCCGAGTGTTCATCTTTTGAGAATATTTTGCATTCTTTTGATATTAGCACCTCAATGTTTCTTGAGGAATCCTCCTGCCCCATATGGCTTAGGCAGCTGAAGATGGCCAATTAAGGTTCCAAATACCCCCAGCCATGGTGACTGTTTCAGAGATGAGCACATGGTCTGCACCTGGCCGGTGAGGTTGGGCATGCAAGACACTTAGAGGAACTACCACGGAAGAGGCCCTCTCTTTCCAGTGAGGTTGCTGGGCTGTGGGATGTAAGCCTGGGGCATCGTTGGCCATGGCACGAGGAATGTCCGCCAGAGAAGAAAGCTGTGCAGACTGTGGAGGAATGGAGGAAAGGAAAGGACCAGGAGGATGGTACCGCTTAAACTGTTGGCCATAAGCCAGATATACGGAGGAACTTCCTAGTTAAATGTCCCAATAACTTCCCTGTTATGCACAAGCAAGTTTGAATTAGGTTCCGCACTTGCAACTGAAGGAGGGCTGACTAAAAAGGAAGATCGGAATAGATTGGAGGTATGACATGCCAGAACAGCCCTGGCATGTCATCCTGCCATTGATAGATAAATTAACACGCACAGACAGCGTAACACACAGAGCTCCAACCCTATGGAGGCATTTCGCAATGTATCGAGAAACTGAGGAATTACCCACCCAGTTCTTTCATAGTTTTGTTGTTAAAACGTCCAATAGTACCAAATATTAAACACACTTAACAAAGAGATTTTCCAAACAGGCTTTGTGTGAGCAATGTGGCTGTTTATTCACCTTGGTGCAGGTGGCCTAAGGCCGAAAAGGGCGTTAGCAAAGAAACTATTTCTAATTTGTTTCTTTTGAGACAGAGCCTCACTCTGTCGCCCAGGTTGGAGTGCAGTGGTGTGATCTCAGCTCACTGCCACCTCCACCTTCCAGGTTCAAGTGATTCTTGTGCCTCAGCCTCCTGAATAGCTGGGATTACAGGTCTGTGCCACCACAGCCAGCTAACTTTTGTATTTTTAGTAGAGACGGGGTTTTGCCATGTTGGCCAGGCTGACCTCAAATTCCTGACCTCCAGTGATCCACCTGCCTTGGCCTCCCAAAATTCTGGGATTACAGGAGTAAGTCACTGCACCTGACCCAAAAAAAACCAACTATTTCTTAGCCCACAATTTCGTATTTCATAGTTCAGGAACACAGGTCAGTGATAAACTTCTAGGTAATTCAACCCAAAGAAATTCTTTATATTCCAAAATCACTTTGCACTCTGAACAATACCCCATATCCGCATCGCCTCTACATATGCCTTCTTTCACGGTTCAGCCACAGCAAACTTACAGAGAGCTGCAACACTCAGGGATACAATGCCCGCTCCAGCAATGTAAAATCACAGACGTTGGACCAGAAGGCCACACACCTGAGTTTTGTCAAAGCACTGGAAGCTGTGATAGCTGTCCTTGATAGATTTGTCAACCTCAACAACAATGTCTTTCCTGGATCACTTATTTTTATTTATTTATTTTTTTGTTTGTGACGGAGTTTCGCTCTTGTTACCCAGGCTGGAGTGCGATGGCGCGATCTCGGCTCACCGCAACCTCCACCTCCTGGGTTCAGGCAATTCTCCTGCCTCAGCCTCCTGAGCAGCTGGGATTACAGGCACGCGCCACCATGCCCAGCTAATTTTTTGTATTTTTAGTAGAGACGGGGTTTCACCATGTTGACCAGGATGGTCTCGATCTCTTGACCTCGTGATCCACCCACCTCAACCTCCCAAAGTGCTGGGATTACAGGCTTGAGCCACCGCGCCCAGCCCTATTTTTTTTTTTTTTTTTTTTTTTTTGAGACGGAGTTTCGCTCTTGTTACCCAGGCTGGAGTGCAATGGCGCGATATCGGCTCACCGCAACCTCCGCCTCCTGGGTTCAGGCAATTCTCCTGCCTCAGCCTCCTGAGTAGCTGGGATTACAGGCACGCGCCACCACGCCCAGCTAATTTTTGTGTTTTTAGTAGAGACGGGGTTTCACCATCTTGACCAGGATGGTCTCGATCTCTTGACCTCGTGATCCACCCGCCTCGGCCTCCCAAAGTGCTGGGATTACAGGCTTGAGCCACCGCGCCCGGCCCCTATTTTTTTTAATTGTGATTTTTAAAATCATCCACTTAATGTAAAATGTACCTTCTTCACCATTTTTAAGTATACAGTACGGTAGTATAAGCACTTTTTTTGTATAATGAAGCTCCAGAACTTCTTCATCCTGCAAACTGAAACTCTAAACATAGTAAAGAAAGTCCTCTTTTGTTTTGGGCGGGGGGCGGGGGTGGAGTCTTGTTCTGTTGCCCTGGCTGGAGTACAGTGGTATGATCTCGGCTCACTGCAACCTTCACCTCCAGGGTTCAAGTGATTCTCCTACCTTAGCCTCTCGAGTAGCTGGGATTACAGGCATGCACCACCATGCCTGGGTAATTTTTATATTTTTGGTAGAGACAGGTTTCACCATGTTGGCCAGGCTGGTCTTGAACTCCTGACCTCAAGTGATCCATGCACCTTGGCCTCCCAAAGTGCTGGGATTACAGGCATGAGCCACTGTGCCCAGCCCCTCTTTCCATTTCTAAGAGGTCGACTACGTTAGATGCTTCATGTAACAGGAATCATGCAGTATCTGACCTTTTGAGACTGGCTTATTTCACTTAGCGTGATGTCCTCCAGGGTCATCCATGTTGCAGCATATGACAGGATGTCCTCCTTTTTTAAGGCTGCATAATATTCCACTGTGTGGATATGCCATGTTTTTTTCTACTTATCTGTCAATGGACATCTAGGTTGCTTCCACCTCTTGACTATTGGGAATAATGCTACAGTGAACATGGGTTAAAATACATCACTTCTGAGCCTCGGTTTCCTTATCTGTAAAATGGGGATAATCATGCTTGCCCCATTGTTGCTGGCACATGAAGGAAGCCTGATAAATCCTGCCCCTAGCATCTTTCACTTTTCCTTTAAGGCACTTCTCCCCACCATAATGATGCCTTTGTTCATGTTGTGATTCATTTCACTTTCTTTGTTCCTCTTGAGGATGTAAGCTCCATGCTTGCCTCATTCATCTCTGTATGTCTAGCCTGAGAAACAGTACTTGGTACAAAGTCAGTACTCAATGGAGTATTTGTTGTGAAATAAATAGATGGATTTTGATGGAGTGCTTGAGCTAAGTGAGGTTTGCTGACTCTGGGATCACACACATCTGAATTCTGCTTTCAGATCTACCACTTAATCTCTCTGTGCCTCAGTTTCCTCTAAAAAGACCATGGAACGTGGTTGTGCATGTTAATAATGGTAGCAAATATTAATCATACTGTAGATAAGGCGTTTTGTGCAGCATGCATCACACAGAAAGGACTGGGAAACAGGGTCTGTGAAGAGGAATGACACGTGAATGGTGCTCTCGTTGTTCTGAGATACAATATTTGTTCTGAGATAAAATACCATTTATGTAAAAAATATGCATGCCAAATAACAAAAGAGGTTTTTAGCAGAAAGATCTACAGAGAGACGCACAGAAAACGCAAATGAATGGTGTTCTGGGGAGAGAGAACAGGGAGATGATAAAGGGTAACAAACAAACTGAAGAATAGGGGGTGCTCCAGGCTCCCGGTAAGAATAGCAGCCAGGGCGGGGTGCAGTGGCTCACACCTGTAAGGGCCAGGCCTGGTGGTTCACACGTGCAATCCCAGCACTTTGGGAGGCCGAGGCAGGCAGATCATCTTAGGTCAAAAGTTCAAGACCAGCCTGGCCAACATAGTGAAACCTGGTCTCTACCAAAAACATAGAAATACAAAAATACAAAAACTAGCCGGGCGTGGTGGCACACACCTGTAGTCCCAGCTACTCAGGAGGCTGAGGTTGCAGTGAGCCAAGATCGAGCCATTGCCCTCTAGTCTGGGCAACAGAATAAGACTCCAGCTCAAAAAAAAAAAAAAAGTGAATTAAAGTATGTATTAAGTATAAGTTTTGGGGGTTTGTTTTGTTTTGTTTTGTTTTGTTTTGTTTTGTGAGATAGGATCTCACTCTGTCACCCAGGCAGGAGTGCAGTGGCATGATTGTGGCTCACTGCAGTCTCAAATTCCTGGGCTCAAGCGATCATCCTGCCTCAGCCTCCTGAGTAGCTGGGACTATAGGTGTGCACCACCACACCCTACTCATTTTTAAAGTTTTTGTGAAGATGGGATCTTGCTATGCTGCCCAGGCTGGTCTGGAACTCCTGGCCTCAAGAGATCCTCAGTCTCCTAATGTGCTGAGATGACAGGTGTGAGCCACCTTGCCTGGCCTAATATATAAAGCACATGTTCAGTATAAAAGCCAAGGATTTGACAATGTTAGAAGAACCTTCTCCAATAGGTGGGAAGTGGTGGGGATGGGATCTTTGACCTGGAGAGGAGTAGTCTTCATGAGCCTAAACCTGCATTTCTGGTTTCTTTCAGGGTGGCAGCCCACAAAGGGTGTCCCTGTCCCTCACGGGGTCATGGCCTTCATGTTGCTCGCCCGGCGCCTGGCCTGCAGCTTCCAGCACAGCTACCGCCTGCTGGTGCCCGGTAAGCCCTGGGGGTCTTGACAAGAACTGATCCTAATGGAAGACACCATGCAGACTAGGGATTCCTGGGCTGGAAGAGCCCTTAAGGATAAAGGGACCAGCCAGTGAGTGTTTCTGGTACTGTCCCACTGTATTAATCTGTTCTCATGCTGCTAATAAAGACATACGCAAGACTGGGTAATTTATAAAGAAAAAGAGGTTTAATGGTCTCACAGTTTCACCTGACTGGGTAGGCCTCACAATCATGGCGGAAGGTGAGGAGGAGCAAAGGCACGTCTTACATGGCAGCAGGCAAGAGAGCCTGTGCAGGGGAACTGCTCTTTATAAAATCATCAGATCTTGTGAGTCTTATTCAATTGACTGTCATGACAGCAGCATGGAAAAGACCCACCCCCATGATTCAGTTACCTCCTGCTGGATCCCTCTCACGACATGTGGGAATTATGGGAGCTACAATTCCAGATGAGACTTGAGCGAGGACACAGCCAGACCATATCACCCACTATCCATAAAACTGTCACCATCACCACCTCCTTTCCCTCTCCCATCTCTGCCATGCATATGATCCTGTCCCAGGTGCCTCAGTGGGATGGGACTGGATCCACCCTGGAGCTACTCTGCCTGCAGGTAGGTGATGGCCTCCACAGCCAGATGGTCCCAGGCCATCTCTGCAGGGACCACTGGGGAAAACACACATCTGGGGTTGCTGCTAAGGAACAAGAAAGCGGTAAACATCTCTGAAATTGACCTAAAGGCCAACTGTGCTTCAAGGTCACTGGATCACTGGACAGGAGACACCATCTTAGGAATGTCTCACCCCCACTCCACCCCATACCCATGGCCACCTGCACTGGCTTCTTCTTCCTTCTGTTTGACCTCTTTGAGATCCTCCTCCCTCCCAATAGTCCCATGAGGAAGGCTCAAGTGAATCCCATCTTACAGGTAAGAGAACTAAGGCTCAGAGAAGCAAAGCCATTTGCCCAAAGTTGCACAGCCACTTGCATGCACCTCTGTCTGGCTCCAGTGCTGAGTATTCCTCCATGTGCCTCTGTGTGGCTCTGGGAGATAGTCCCAGCAACAGCCTCCCTTCAGATGCCCCCAGATTGGCCTCCCACAGAGATATAAACTGCCTGGCTCGGGCCTGGCCATGACATAGGTTCACAAAGACCAATGAACCTCCAGTCTGTTCCCAGCTCTCTCAGAGCCCCTGTGCTTGTCATCACGGTGTCCCTTGTTGTCAGGTGCTGGGGAAAAGGCTGACGCATGACCTGCTTATCTGGCACAGGATGGGAGTTAATGGAAGACCATGCTCCATGTCCAGTGAAGCACCAGAATGTGGCTAGACTTGCTGGTTCTAGCCACAGCCTTTTCCCCGTTTACTGATTGTATCTCAAGTAGAACATGCTCTATACCTTCAAAGGAAATGCCAGACCACCACAGCTATAAATCACCTGCTTCATGCTTCTCCCTTCTCACCCCCCACATCCCTGAGCACATGCTTCTTTGTTGAAACACTCAATCAGTAGTGTGTGGGGGTCTCCAGTGCTCGGGGCCTTTGCATCCTCCTACTCACTTGGCCCCCTGGGAGCCCACCTTTATGCACTCTTCCTCTTATCTCTTAATTTCTTTGTCTCTGCTGACCCTCATTACTTTCTAGGTTGTGCCTGGGCTGGATCCCAACAGTCAGGCCTTGCTGCCTTCTGCAGACAAACTGCTAGCCGTGTCCTTGGTCTGCATGTTGAATGCTGGTGTAAACGTGCTGGGTGTGTGTGCCCCTCCCCAGGGAGTATTAGCTGCCACACCCACAGCGTTTTCATGCTTCTCCATGGCGTCTCCACCCATCAGGTCACTGTGAAGCGATTAAACGTGATGATAGCTAACGATCTGAGATGACGTTCCCAATGGCATCATTTTATGCCACCCCCCAAAATTAATCATCTTATGTCAATAAACAGGATGCAGGGAGTGAGAGATGACATCAAAATCATTATCACTGGGTAGAAAATTAAATTTGCTTTTTTCCATGTTGCTTGGTGGTGTCTTCCTCAGTGAGCATGTTATCATAAAATAAGCAGGGTAGAGATTTGCAGGGGCAGATACTTTTTTTTTTTTTTTTGAGACGGAGTTTCGCTCTTGTTACCCAGGTTGGAGTGCAATGGCGCGATCTCGGCTCACCGCAACCTCCGCCTCCTGGGTTCAGACAATTCTCCTGCCTCAGCCTCCTGAGTAGCTGGGATTACAGGCACGCACCACCATGCCCAGCTGATTTTTTGTATTTTTAGTAGAGACGGGGTTTCACCATGTTGACCAGGATGGTCTCGATCTCTTGACCTCGTGATCCACCCGCCTCGGCCTCCCAAAGTGCTGGGATTACAGGCATGAGCCACCGTGCCCGGCCTTTTTTTTTTTTTTTTTTTTTTTTTTTTTTTTTTTTTTAAACGGAAAAGCAGAGCAAACAACTCCAGCTGGTCTTGACCTTCATTCCAGCCAGGCTCACGCACAGAGCTTTCGCCATTTGAGAACATGGCATTCATTTATTACTCTCAGTCTGTTTGCTGGCTGCTGTATAGTTTGGAGCTAATAATGGACTCTGGCTTGGCATCACCGTTGAGAGCTGTGAGCCCTAGAGGGCTGGGCTGGATGGACCATTCGTCCGCTACATTCAGTCTTGTATGTCAATAGCACACTCTTGCTTTCTGGATGTTATTTTATTCATGAATGAAAATGCTTGATCCTTCAGTATTAATTCAAACTGGGTATTTTTTTGCATCTTTATGATCATTTGTCTTTGAGAGAAGTGTGTTGTTTTGCTGCAAATGTTTCATTCAAAGGTTAGCACTAGATGAAATCAAAGATGGCCTCAGCTCCATTCACAGCTTCTAGGAAAGAGGTCAGATGGGCAAATTTCCTGCTAACCATTTGATAGCTGTGTGATCTTGGGCAAATTAATTAACCTCTCTGAGCCCTCAGTGTTTTATTCTATAATGTAAGATAATAACATTTACCTCATAGGAGTTTTTGAGAATTAGATGAGGTAAGCCATGTAAATTGCTTAGGATAATTCCTGGTTTGTTCACCCTAAGTGCTGAATACACACTTGAATCTGCTTGTGTGTCTTCACAGACGAGATCCAAGAAAAGCCTTACTTGTCCCTTCCATTTTTGTTCTGTTCTCTTGTGGTGCATGGTGTTATATGTCATCATTAAGAGAGTATTCATTGTAATAGTATTTATTTTCCTCTTTCGAAAAAGCCAACATTTAGATTAGAAGGAAAAGCAAACGTATTGAGATTGTAACAACCTGGGTTCCAATCCTGACTCTGCAACTCATTAGCTGTGTGACACTGAGACAGTCCTCATCTGTAAACTGTGAACAACAATACCTATCTATATTGTTGTATTTATTTGTGGATTATTTAAAGCAATAGGTGGCAGTTTGCCTAGGTAGGGCCAGCCTAGCCTTTTAGTAAAGGCTGAACATGTGTTAATTTCCCCATTTCCCCCCTTTCTGATAGCACAGTTGCAAGCAAACTTATGGAAAACATAATAGGAACTGATATAGGAACAGACCCATCTACCTTGCATCTGGTCCTCAGCGCTCCCAGTTGACCAGCTCTTGCCCTTTCTTTACCGCCTCTCCCTGCCTCCCAGCTCCTATTTCCCCATGGCCTTGACAGTCTCATTATTGCAGCTCCACTTGATCCCACACTCTCTGGTTATTTCTCTCTGGATCCATTCAGCTGCGGCTCCCCCTGTGAACTGCTCCCATTCCCAGTATCTCCACACTCCAGTTCCCAAGAAATCTGATTGCTACAATGCAATGTCAAGACGTTTTCTGGAGAAAAGAAAGGAGGACGTGTGTGTCCTCATTTAAGAACAGCTTGCTAATTTCTAATTTTTCATTTTCCCCCTTTGCTGGAAACAAAGCAAGATCTGCACCGGTGAAGACCTATTTTTATCAAAATACGCATCCCCGAAGAGCTAACTGGAATCAGTGCCGTCCAGTAATCCTCAGTTCTGGCCAAGGAAAAATAAACAGCTTAGTGTAAAAAAGTAGGACTGGGCGTGGTGGTTCACGCCTGTAATCCCAGCACTTTGGGTGGCCAAGGTGGGTGGCAAAACCCAGTTTGAATTAATACTGAAGGATCAATTCTTTGCCAAAAATGCAAACAATTAGCCAGGCATGGTGGTGCATGCCTGTGGTCCCGGCTACTCCGGGGGCTAAGGTAAGAGGATTGCTCAAAACCAGGATGCAGAGGTTGCAGAGCGGAGATCGCACCACTGCACTCCAGCCTGGGCAACAGAGTGAGAACCTGTCTCAAAAAAACACCAAAAAAGTAACCAGGCAAAGTGGTATGTGCCTATAGTCCTAGCCATGTGGTAGGCTGAGGCAGGAGGATCCTTTGATCCCAGGAGTTCAGAGCCAGGCTGGGCAATATAGCAAGACCTCATTTCTTTAAAAAAAAAAAAAAAAAACATATATTTTTATAATTATAAAATTTAATTATAAAATTATAGTTATATCATATGTTCTATGACCTTTAACTGTCTTCTAATAGAATACTCTTTAGGAATTCCCTTTTTCAGATCAAAGAGAAGAAAATAAAGGCTTGTTTTTTCATCTTTATATAAGTGTAGTGCTGTATTTTAACTGTACTTTTGTTCAAAAGACAGCATGATGTTAAGTAATTAATTCAGAAACCTGCTTTGATAACCAAAGCAATTATGGAAAATTAAGAGTGAATTTAAATATGTTTTCAAATCTCATAGCTTTGTATAGTTCGACAGGCTATATGAGCACGTGTGTGTGTGTGTGTGTGTGTGTGTGTGTGTGTGTGTTAGAGGAGATTTTGGCACATAATTCTTTACTTCTCTGAGCTTTACAGTCTCTTGTTTAATGGAAACAGTTTTATATATGTATATATATAATATATATATAAATATATGTATAAATTTATATATATTATGTAATTTGTATGAAGTGTCCACTGATTCCCTAGTTTGGTACAATTATGGCAACCCCCATTAAGAGGAACTGACATTTCCCTAACACCGAATAGTACCAGGAAGGTGAAAGATCAACAGTAATACTAGAGGGATTTCTAGGGGTTACTGATAGGAAACCCCTACACACTTGTCTTGGAGTCGCCACACCTGTCTTTCACTCAGGGATCAGCAAGCCCTGGGCTTGAGCTACCCTTTGTGTTTCAGCAACAGGTGGTGCTAAAAAGATTTGTGGGACAGGAACCCAAACACCCTCTGTCAATTATTCATACATTATGCGGAAAATGTGAAATGGGTTTCAAACAAATGATGCATGACCATGTATTAGTCTGTCCTTGCATTGCTACGAAAAAAAAAATACCTAGGATTGGGTAATTTTTAAAGAAAAAAAGGGTTCAATTGGCTCATGGTCCTGCAAGTTGTACAGGAAACATGATGCTGGCATCTGCTCAGCTTCTGGGGAGGCCTCAGGAAACTTCCAATCATGGTGGAAGGCAAAGAGAGAGCAAGGTGTCTCACATGGTGGGAATAGGAGCAAGAGAGCAAGCGGGGAGGAGCCACACATTTATTTATTTATTTATTTTGAGACGGAGTCTCACTTTGTCACCCAGTGTGAAGTACAATGGCGCAATCTCAGCTCACTGCAACCTCTGCCTCCCAGGTTCAAGTGATTCACATGCCTCAGCCTCCCAAGTAACTGGGACTACAGGTGTGCACTACCATGCCCAGCTTTTTTTTTTTTTTTTTTTTTGAGACAGAGTTTCGCTCTTGTTACCCAGGCTGGAGTGCAATGGTGCATTCTCAGCTCACCACAACCTCTGCCTCCTGGGTTCAGGCAATTCTCCTGCCTCAGCCTCCTGAGTAGCTGGGATTACAGGCACACGCCACCATGCCCAGCTAATTTTTGGTATTTTTAGTAGAGGCGGGGTTTCACCATGTTGACCAGGATGGTCTCGATCTCTTGTCCTCGTGATCCGCCTGCCTCAGCCTCCCAAAGTGCTGGGATTACAGGCTTGAGCCACCGCACCCGGCCCCCGACTAATTTTTGTATTTTTGGTAGAGATGGGATTTCACTAGTTGGCCAGACTGGTCTTGAACTTGATCCACCTGCCTCGACCTCTCAAAGTGCTGGAATTACAGGCATGAGCCACTGCACCCAGCCAGCCACACACTTTTAAACAACCAGATCTCAGCTAGGCGCAGTGGCTCACAACTGTAATCCCAGCACTTTGGGAGGCTGAGGTGGACAGATCATTTGAGGTCAGGAGTTCAAAACCAGCCTGGCCAACATGGTGAAACCCTATCTCTACTAAAAATATAAAAATTAGCCGGGCGTGGTGGCGGGCACCTGTAATCCCAGCTACTTGGGAGGCTGAGGTGCAGGAATCACTTGACCCTGGGAGGCGGAGGTTGCAGTGAGCTGAGATCATGTCACTGTACTCCAGCCTGGGCAACAGAGTGACGTTCCATCTCAAAAAAAAAAAAAGTTAAAATTAAAAATAAACAACTAGATCTCATGAGAACTCACTTCCTCCACAATAGCACAGAGGGGGATGGATGGTGTTACGCCATGAGAGCCTGTCCCCATAATCCAATCACCTCCCCAAGGCCCCACCTCCAGCATTAGGGATTACATTTCAACATGAGATTCGGGCGGGGACAGAAGTCCCAACCATGTCAGACCAAAACTTTATTTTTGAAATAAAAACCATTTATTAAATGGGACCAAATGAATTTAGAAATGTGATGATTCCTTCCTATGTAATTTTGACTGGCATAACCAGGTGTGGGTGTTCCTGGCCTCTGGTGGGGAAGGCCGGGGATACTGCTAAGCATTCTGTAATACACAGGACAGCCCCCAACAACAGAGGATTATCCAGCCCAAAATGTTAATTTTGTCAAGCTTGAGAAACGTTAGGCTATATGTATTTGGATGTAGATTACATTTTTACAAAATTTGGATAATTTTTAGAGTCTTACCTTTCCCATGCTAATACCATGGACATCTTTCCATGTTCATGAATATTCAAAATGTCAACGTCAAAACAATGGGTGCATAAGATTCCATGAAATGGTTGACTATGCCACATTCTGCTTAGCTGACTTCTGGTGCTGGACATTTAGGTTGTTTGTTTTTGTCTGTTTGTTGAGACAGGGTCTCACTCTGTTGCCCAGCCTGAAGTGCAGTGCTGCAATCATGGCTCACTGCAGCCTCAGCCTCCCAAGTAGCTGGAAGTAAAGCTACCACCATGCCCAGCTATTTTTTTTTTTTTAAGAGATGGGGTTTCACCATGTTACCCAGCTGGTTGTGAACTTCTGAGCTCAAGGGATCCACCCACCTTGGCCCCCCAGAATGCTGGGATTACAGGCCTGGGCGACCACATTGGGCCCTCTTTGCTGTTCTTATAGACAATACTATGATGAATACTCTTTACCTCTGTCTTTGTACTGGTCCCATTATTTTCTTAGGTGGAATCGTAAAAAAAGATTCCTCAGTTGAAAGCAACAGAAAGCTGGCATCAAGTCAGGCATGATGGCTCACACCTGTAATCCCAGCTATTTGGGAGGTGATGGCAGGTGGATCGCTTGAGCCCCGGAGTTTGAGCCCAGGCTGGGCAACATGGCGAAACCCCATCTCTGCTAAAATTATAAAAATTAGCCAGGCATGGTGGTTGCATGCCTATAATCCCAGCTACTCAGAAGTCTAAGGCAGGAGGATCACCTGATCCTTGGGAGGCCAGTGATGGGGCCACTGCACTCCAGCCTGCGCAATGGAGAAGACCCTGTCTCAATAAAAAAATAAATAAAAAGAAAGCTGGCATCAGCTTGTACTCATGCTAGGAAAACAGGGGCATACCTATTTGCCTACGACTTTGTTGACACTGGGTTTTTCCATTTGTAAAATCTGCAGGGTTCTTGTGGTGCCCCAGTTGGTCTGTCCACTGTGCCCCACAGTGTTCTGGGGTGGTCTGGCTGGGATAGGGTTAATGTCCTGGCACTAACTCTGTTAAGTACGTGGGGCATGTGTCAGGGCAGAATCCTCATGATCTCTGTTGTCACCTTCTCATTGTCTTTGTTTACTGCAGCATCCAGACCCATTAGCCAAGCCGCAGCCAAAGTCGACGTTGAATTTGATTATGATGGGCCTCTGATGAAAACTGAAGTCCCAGGGCCTAGATCTCGGGTGAGTTGAGCACACCTGTGTGGGGTATTTTGGAAAAGGGAGAAAGGGGCTAAGAAGTAAGAAGACAGCTAAGCTCAGGGATGTGTATTGACTGTCAGCTGCTTTCAGAGAGTTCACCACCAGAGAGCCGAGATACTCAATTAGGCCATTTTGCCATAAGAAGCCAAAGAAGGACTGGGCACCTTGGCTCACGCCAGTGATCCCAACACTCTGGGAGGTCGAGGCAGGTGGATCACTTGAAGTCGGGAGTTCAAGACCAGCCTGGCCAACATGGTAAAACCCTGTCCCTACTCAAAATGCAAAAATTAGCTGGGAGTGTTGGTGGGCACCTGTAGTCCCAGCTACTCCAGAGGCTGAGGCAAGAGAATTGCTTGAATCCAGGAGGCAGAAGTTGCAGTGAACCAAGATGGTGCCACTGCACTCCAACCTGGGTGACAAAGGTCCTTGCGGTGCCTGAAGTCCAGAGTCAAGGGCTACGGTACAATATACAGCCATGGATCAAGACTCTATGTCAGAAAAAAAAAAAAAAAAAAAAAAGAGAAGCCAACAAAGGAGCCAAAAAAGGAGCATCACAGAGGAGGATGTATCAGTTGTCTGTTACCACAGTAACGCTGCATAACAAACAGCTGCAAAAACCTCAGTATCATAGAGCATGCCCATTGCTCGTGCATTTAAGATTAATTGGGAGTTGGGTAGGCAGCTTTGTTGGGCTCACTTCCATGCCTAGGGGATGGCTGGCTGTCGGTTGATCTAGGTTAGGCATGGCTTGAATCATTGCAGTGATTTGGTTCTGCTCCCTGGGTCTGTCATCCTCCGGTAGGCTAGACAGGGCTTCTCCTCATGGCAATGGCGAAGGTGTACCAAAGCAAGAGGAGAACATGCTGTAGTGTTTGTTTGTTTGTTTGTTTGTTTGTTTGTTTGTTTGTTTGTTTGTTTTTGAGACAGAGTCTCCCTCTGTCGCCAGGCAGAGGTGCGATCTCAGCTCACTGCAACATCCGCCTCCCAGGTTCAAGCAATTCTCCTTCCTCAGCCTCCCAAGTAGCTGATATTACAGACATGCACCACCACACCCAGCTAATTTTTGTAATTTTAGTAGAGACGGGGTTTCATCATGTTGGCTAGATGGTCTCAATCTCTTGACCTTGTGATCCGCTTGCCTCAGCCTCCCAAAGTGCTGGGATTACAGGTGTGAGCCACTGCGCTTAGCCCGTGCTATAGTTCTGTTGAGGCCTGGACTCTGCATGGGTCCGCCATCACTGCTGCCTCCTTCTGCTGGTCAAAGCAAGTTATACCTTCTCTTAAGCCCAGAATCAAGGAATGGGGTACAGTGTCCAGCCAACAGTGGAAGAACCTGGCAATGTTACGTGGCACAGTGCTCAGAGATCAAATGCCCTTGAACTTGATCTTGAAATCTTTCTAATGCAAATTTATTTTTTCTTTGCATATTTTATCCATAGTGTCTTTTTTTTTTCTGTCAAAACGTACTTCTTTTGTCGTTGCAACTATTTTATAAATCCAGAAATCTTTGTATTAATGTAAGTGATTATCGTTATTTTGGATAGTGTTTTGCTAACAAAATGGGAGACACTTTAAATGCATATTTCTGTTGGGGGTACAGATTTTAATCTAGTAGTAGTAAAGTTCTTGTAATAACTTTTCATATTCTTGTCATGAATATTAACCTGTGTTTTTACGTGGACATATATAATTTTTTGACACTTCGACATAAATAAGTAATTTATGTTGAATTACTTTTGGAGTTGACATCTTTGTAATATCAAAGCAACTAGTTTCTAATTCCCTGTTTCTGTATAGAATAAAGTCCAAGTGCTTTATGGAACATTTGGATTATAATTGTAAACGGTTCTTTGATGTGCAAGTTAATATTTTCAGTTGTTTTATTTAGATTCTTAATGAGACGTTAACACCTTTTTTTTCCCTAAATAACAGAGAATCTATGTTTTTAATGGCACTAGATAAACACCTTCAGTTTAAGATTTTCTTGCTAAATGTTTTAACTTATCTTTCAGGTGTCTGAGTTGCTAGCCCATCTATTGTACTGGTAATTTAACTGTGTAATGGAATTGTTTCCTGCCAACTATTTATATCAACTAATTTTTAAAGTAATATTGTTGACTAACTAATAAACTATTAAGTTATTGGCCAAAGAGAAAAAAATGCCAAGACTTGGGAAAACATGAAAAACTTGAAGCTATTTTGGCAAAAGTGTGTACTTGCTGTAATGATTTTGTTCTTCTTGCCTGCAGGAGTTAATGAAACAGCTGAATATAATTCAGGTAAGTGAGGATGAGGTCACATTCCTTCTGTTGCTTCTTTATCACAATTGAGCTAAAAGACAGATGCTTAATCTGTTCTGACTCTTTTTTTAAAAAATGTAGTTGACTTTTGTTCTAAACGTTTTTTTCTCATTTCCTCTGTGATTTCTTCTTTGACCCATTGGTTATTTACATGGTGTTGAATCTCTATGCTTTGGTAAATTTCCCAAATTTATTTCTGTTATTGATTTCTAGTTTCATTCCATTATGGTTGGGAAACATATTTTTGTGATTTCAATCCTGTTAAATTTATTGAGCCTTTTTTTATGGCCTAGCATATGGTCTCACTTGGAGAATATTCCATATGTATTCTGTAGTCTGCTGTTGTTGGACAGAGTTTTCTATAGATGTTTGTCAGGTCTGTTTGCTTTTAGAATATTGTTCAAGCCTTCTGTTTCCTTGCTAACCTTCTGCCTAGTTGCCCTATCCATTATGGAGTGCCAGATGTTGACCTCTTCAACTATTATTATAAAACTATTTTTCCCTTTAATTCTGTTTTTGCTTTATCTATTCAGGGCTCTGTTGTTAGGTGCAAATATGTTTATAATTGTCATAACTTCTTAGTGGATTCACCCTTTATAATATTAATATTATAATATTCTCTCTTTGGTAACATTTTTATAGTCTATTTTTTCTGATACGAATATAACCCCTTCTAGCTTTCTTATGGTTGCTGTGTGCATCAGATAACTTTCTCCATCTTTTTACTTTCAGTGTATTTGTGTTCTTGAATATAAAGTGTCTCCTGTAAACTGCATGGAGTTGGTTCTTTTTATTCAGTCTGACAGTCTCTGCCTTTTGATTGGATTGTTTAATCCATTCACAGTTAATGTTAGTATTCATATAGTTGTATTTACAGCTGCCATTTATTGTTGTTGTCTACATGTCTTCTGTCTTTTTTGTTCTTTTATTCCCCTTTTAATGTTTTGGGGTTTTTTTAATTTGAGATGGAGTCTCACTTTGTCACCCCAGACTGGAGTGCAGTGCCACACAATCTCAGCTCACTGAAACCTCCGCCTTCTGGGTACAAGTGATTCTCCTGCCTCAGCTCCCCAAGTAGCTGGGATCACAGGCATGCATGCCTGGCTAATTTTTATAGATAGGGCGTTTTTACCATGTTGCTGAGCTGGTCTCAAACTCCTGACTTCAAATGATCCACCTGCCTCAGCCTCCCAAAGTACTGGGATTACAGGTTCGAGTCACCTCACCTGGCCCTCTTGTCATGTTTTATTATTTTGCACTAAGTGAGTACTTTCCAGTGTGATATTTTTGTTTCTTTGATGATTACTATATATTTTTAGTTTTCATTGAGATTGCACCAAGGTTTACCAAACAGATCTTAACAGAATCGACTTCAGATTTGTATCTCTTTTTTTGTTCTGATGTATAAACCACATACAGAAAAATTCATAAAATATAAAATCACAGTTTATTGAACTATTATAAAGCAGACCACGTGTGCACTTAGCCAAAGCAAGAAATACATTGCCAGCACCCACAGATGCCCCTATGTGTTCATAGAATGGTCATGATATGATGTACTTCAGTGATTCAAGCTTGATCCTGAAAGACCAAGAATCTAGGGAATGGCAGTGAGCCTGAGTTGGTCTCTTCTTTCTCCAAGAACGCAGAGGCTGTGCATTTTTTCTGCAATTACGAAGAGAGCCGAGGCAATTACCTTGTTGATGTTGATGGCAACCGAATGCTGGATCTTTATTCCCAAATCTCCTCTGTCCCCATAGGTAAGAGCTGGGAAATCACTCCTTGGATATCACCTCTGTTTCTCTCTCTGCTAATTGTGGCTGTCCAGGTTGTAGGATGTGGCTCCCAGCAGGCACATCCCAAGGTGTTGCCTGACACTTCACTCAAGGGTAGGAAAAAAAATAAGTAATTCATAAAGGGTATATTATTAGACATATTATATGTCCTCTCTCATCTACTCCTCCCCAAACCCTACAAGGTAAGTATGTATTAATTAACAAAGCATAGAGGGGTTTGGTAGGTTGCATAGGAATTACAGCTAGAATGCAAACCCCTCTGTGTGACCGCCGTGGCCACCATGCAGGTGTCTTAGGTTGAGTTTCCCAGAAGAGTCTGAGGTGGGGATTTCTGTTTTCCCTGGTTTTTGTTTGTTTGTTGTTTGTTGTCGTTGTTGTTGTTGTTGTTGTCGTCGTCGTCGGAGTCTTGCTCTGTGCACCAGGCTGGAGTTCAGTGGCGCAATCTCAGCTCACTGCAACCTCTACCTCCTGGATTCAAGCGATTCTCATGCCTCAGACTCCCAAGTAGCTGGGATTACAGGCATGTGCCACCATGCCCATATAATTTTTGGATTTTTAGTAGAGACGAGGTTTCACCGTGTTGGCCAGGGTAGTCTAGAACTCCTGCCCTCAAGTGATCTGCCTCTCTCAGCCTCCCACAGTGCTGGGATTACAGGTGTGAGCCACTATACCTGGCCTAATTTTTTTTATTTTTTGTAGAGATGGGGTCTCACTCTGCTGCCCAGGCTGGTCTCAAACTCCTGGACTCAAGTGATCCTCCCACCTCAGCCTCCCAAAGTGCTGGGATTATAGACGTGAGCCACTGAACCCAGACAGAGCAGGGGATTCCTGGGCAGGTTATTGATTGAGGGAGAGCTCTCAGGAGAAAGGGGAAGAAGGGAAACAGCCGGGGGCAGAGGGAAGAAGCTAAGAAGAATGAGGTCTCAGCTCGAACTATCCACAGCCTGACCCCACTTGGGGCTCTGGAGCACGCACCACACCCCAGAGTTGGTCTTGGACTGAAGCAGAGGGCCCAGCTTTTTATGCTACTGTGCCAGCTAGGCATTGCCCGTCAGCTGCCAGAGGGGAGAACTTGTGTAATCTCCTCTGCAAAGTGGCTTCCATTTGCCATGGGCAATTTTCCAGGCAAGGAGGCAGCTGGAGTTATTATCAACCAACACACACAGCAGCTGGGAAACGGTGACCTCCCCGGTGAAAGTGACCTCAGTGGGAGGCCCACAGCCTCTGCCTCCCCAGGCTCACCTCCCAGCCATATAGAGCGTGACTCGCTGTGGAAAAGGGCACACAGACAGGATTGACAGGCCTAATTTGGAAATGCAGGTAGCTGCTATTTGCAGCTTGGATGGTTAATGTTCCTTTGGCTGCTGGATTCCTGGTTGCCTTCAGTAAGTCTGTGGGCTGTGTCTGCTGAAGCCTGTCCCTTCACAGATGACGCTGGTTCTTCTGCTGCAGAGGAGCCCAGGGCATCCTCTGCTCCCCATCAGCACCTCCCACAGCGCCCTGGTCAGCAGCCTGGAGCCTTTTTCCCTGAGACCCAGCCGTGGGTGTCCACTCCTCCTCTTCTTCCCTTGCCCATTTCCTCATTACCTATTTATTTCCCATTAAGATGCTATTAGACAGTAAGCGGATGACTCATTCTTTTGGGGAAGTCCGTTATTCAGGGATGCCTCAGCCACAGAAGGCATTTTGGAGACAAAGATTTATAAAACCCCATCTCCCCTTTGTGTTGGAGTAGAAGGGATGGGCTCTTGACTTGTCCTGGGTTCGAATTCTGGCTCCGCTGTATATTAGCTGTGGGATAGTGACCCAACCCCTAGGACTCCCTCAATCTGAATGTCCAGCTACCACTATGGGCGTGAAGGTCAGGAAATCAGATTAGCAGCATTTGTTTTAAAAACTAGAAGTTTGGTCCAGCACAGAGGCTCACACTGGTAATCTCAATATTTTTGGAGGCCAAGGGAAGAAGATTGCTTGAGGCCAGGAGTTGAAGACCAGTCTGGGCAATAGAGTGAGACCCAACCCCATCTCTACAAAAAAAAGGGTTTTTTAATGCCTTTAGTCCCAGCTACTCTGAAGGCTCGGTCAGGAGGATCAGTGGAGCCCAGGAGATGGAGGCTGCAGTGGGCTATGATCATACCACTGCACTCCAGCCTAGGCAACAGTGCAAAACCCTGTCTTAATAAAAACAAAACAAAAACTAGCCCAGACACGGTGGCTCACGCCTGTAATCCTAGTGCTTTGGGAGGCCAAGGCAGGTGGATCAGGAGATTAGAAGTTCGAGACCAGCCTGGCCAACACGGTGAAACCCCATGTCTACTAAAAATACAAAAAAAATTATCCAGGCATGGTGATGCATGCCTGTAATCCCAGCTACTGGAGAGGCGGAGGCAGGAGAATTGCTTGAACCCGGGAGGCAAAGGTTGCAGTGAGCCAAGATCATGCCATTGCACTCTGGCCTGGATGACTGAGCAAGACTGTCTCAGCAAAAAAAAAAAAAAAAAAATCTAGAAATTCTAAAAGTTCTTTCTCTGGCCACCTGTTCTCCCATGTCTGTAGTCTTTGAAAAGATTTTTTTTACGTTAATACTTACTGCGAATTTACTATACATCTGGCATATTGCTAAGTGCCTTATATGTTACCTCATTAAAGTTGGGTCTTTTAACATCACCTCCAGTTGACTGACTGGCCCAAGTCTCAAGAGTTTGCAGGGTTTGCCTGGTATACACAGGGAGTCCAAGGTTAAGCCAGGTTGTAAATAAACAACTCTCTGGCTCCCACGCTCATTTCTGTGGTAGCCGCCTTGCAGACTCCTGCCCCTGCCCTGCCCTGAAATGTGGGAGTCCCACAGTATCAAAAGCCCAAGGCAGAATTTCCCTGATCAGAGGGACCAGCTCTGCTTTCATCTCTTCTTCAGAAGCCCATAAGGCACACCCCCTCTAAGGCTTAATGAGGTTTACCTGGAACAGGTTTATCTCCAGAGGCAGAAAAGTCCCGACACAGGCAATGTTGATAAGGACCCAGAGCTTAGAGACATTTGGCCCAAAAATAGTTGGAGAAACCCGGAGTGTTCCTTTCTTGAGTAAGGCTCACTTTGCAGCCTTAGGCCCGGTGTGCGTTGGAGTAGGATCGGGGAGTGGCAGGGATGAATGTTAACAGTCTTCCCTACCGGGGCCCCTCCTTGCCTCTCCCATCCATCTTCTTGACAAAGCAGAGTGGACCCCCAAGGCGTTTCAGATCACTTTCACTGTTTTGTTCTATTGAAGAGAAAGTCTCCCCTGGGTGATGCCAGGTCTTTAACACCTGATCTCTAACTGTGGAGGAGTGCGTGCCCCGGGCTCAGAGGCTTGGGCAGGCAACAGATTGCTCCTACTGATTTCAGCCTCTGGCCACATTGATATAAACTCTCCTTTCAAAGTAAATGTATTTGGCTGGGCACAGTGGCTCACGCCTTAATCCCAACACTTTGGGAGGCCAAGACAGGAAGGTAACTTGAGCTCAGGAATGTGGGACCAGCCTGGCCAACATGGCGAAACCCTGCCTCTATAAAAACTACCAAAATTAGCCGGGCATGGTGCTGCACACCTGGAAGCCTGGCTATTCAGGAGGCTGAAAAGGGAGGATTGCTTAAGCTGGAGAGGTTGAGGCTGCAGTGAGCCGTGATCACGCCACTGCACTTCAGCCTGGGCAACAGAGTGAGACCTGGTCTCAGCAAAACACAAAAGGTTGAAGGGATGAATTCTGAGATTAGCAGGTGACTGACTGGTGAAGGGAAAGGGGAAGTCTGGAGTCCTCGGGCATGGACAGTTGTCTCCACGCTGCTGCAGGGATTGCATGTTCAAATTCTGTAGGAGTCAGCATGAACCTTGGGCTAGAAATTCGGGCTGTGACGTCAGCACACTCGTTTTGCACAAACTCCAGTTGACCATCTTGGTCCCAATAGATTTCAGCCTGTTTCTCCTTGATCTCATAAGCAGAGAGAGTTTCTGCATTTTCAGCAAGTTGATTCCTTTTTCTTTCTTTCTTTCTTTTCTTTGAGACGGATTCTCACTCTGTCACCCAGGCTGGAGGGCAGTGGTGCCATCTCAGCTCACTGCAATCTCCACCTCCCTGGTTCAAGCAATTCTCCTGCCTCAGCCTTCCAAGTCGCTGAGATTACAGGCACACACCACCACACTGGGCTAATTTTTTTCTGTTTTTAGCGGAGATGGGGTTTCACCGTGTTGGCCAGGCTGTTATTAAACTCCTGACCTCAAGTGATCCCCCCACCTTAGCCTTCCAAGGCTAAGGTGAGATTCCTTTCTTACCTGTTCTCCTGCAAACTTAAGAATTTCTGTTCCTTACTGGCTGGGGCACAGCTTCAGCTTTTTGGTAAGTTGTTTCCTTTCTTCTCTCTGCTGTCCTGTAAGCCCAAGAATGTAGTCACCGGTTTCTTTAACTCTTTGAGGCATGGTGTCAAGTCCTGGTTGGTGGCCACCATGGGTATGCTAATCCCGAGGCAGGTCTCCTAAGACTCCCTCCCTCTGGTCCTCTGGCCAGGGAGGGCCAGGCGCCACCACAAAGTGTCCTGGACCTGTGGAGCAGCATCGCCATGGACAGGGGACTCTGTGTATGCAGCAGAAGTGGGAATGGGCTTCATCCACCATCGCATGGCCACTTTCCAGGGCTTCCAGACACATGAAAGTGATGAGGCAGCTGGGCACGGTGGTTCATGCCTGTAATCCCAGCAGCTGGGAGGCTGAGGAAGGTGGATCACGAGGTCAAGAGTTCAAGACCAGCCTGGCCAAGATGGTGAAACCTCATCTCTACTAAAAATACAAAAAATTAGCCAGCATGGTGACGGGTGCCTATAAACTGAGCTACTCAGGAGGCTGAGGCAGAGAATTGCTTAAACTGGGGAGGCAGAGGTTACAGTGAGCAGAGATTGCACCACTGCACTCCAGCCTGCGTGACCGAATGAGACTATGTCTCAAAAACAAAAGTGAGGATGCATTCATCAGGGTGAGAGCTGCGATTTTTGGAAACTCAAGTCAAACAAATGAGGTCAGATGCTGAGTTCTTTTCTGAGAGAGACCCTGCCACCCTCTTGTTCTCCGACCTTATGTGTGATTGTCTCCCAGTACTGAGTAAGAGATGACCTGCAGGCAGGTGCGTTACCAGGAGACAGGAAATGGCTTGACTTCAGGCCGGGTTTGGCGGCTCACACCTATAATCCTAGCACTTTGGAAGACCGAGGCAGGTGGATCACCTGAGGACAGGAGTTCAAGACCAGCCTGGAAACATGGCAAAAACCCATCTCTATTAAAAATACAAAAAATTAGCCAGGCATGGTGGTGCACACCTGTAATCTCAGCTACTCCGGAGGCTGAGGCATGAGAATCGCTTGTACACAAGAGGCGGCGGTTGCAGTGAGCCAAGATTGTGCCACTGCACTCCAGCTTGGGCAACAAGGCAAGACTCTGTCAAAAAGAAAAGAAAAAGAAAGAAAAAATGGGGAGGAGGATGGAAGAGAGGGAGCAGGGAGGGGAAAGGAAGGGAAGGGAAGGGGAAGGAAAGAAGAGAGCGGGGAGAGGAGGAAGAGGGAGGAAGGGAGGGAGGGAGGGAGGGAGAAGGGAAGGGCTTGATTTCCTAGGGGAAGCCAACCTGCGATAGAATCATTGAGAATGTCTTTGAAGAAGCCCTGGAAGATTACAACAATCTTGCTTGAGTCTGACATGACTACAGAGTAATCATTATTAATTAACTTCAAACATTTTTATTTTAATTTTTTTCTTTTTTTATTCCTTCTTTAAAAAATAGGAGACATGCACTGCCACGAGTGTATCTATGCAACAATCTTGCATGTTCTTCACATGTACCCCAAAACCTAAAATGCAATTAAAAAAAAATTGAAGGTTCTTATATTTCAAAAAAAAAACAAAAAAAAAAAACAAAAACATAGGCGACACGTACAGAATGTGCAGGTTTGTTACATCGGTGTACGTGTGCCATGGTGGTTTGCTGCATCTATTGTCTCATTATTTTAATTTTAATAGAGTGGGGACCAGTGTCTTTCCTAAGCCTGAGCCTCTTTACAATTCCTCTCCCAAAAGCAAAGTTATTATCGGCTTCTTCTAGAGAGATACTCAGTGCCTGCGTAAGCACACACGTATCCTGCGTCTCTCCTTCTTCACTTAGCAGATATCTCAGAGATTATTCTAACAGCACAAATCAATCTCTCTCATCCTTTTCTACAGCTGATTTGTTACATTAGAAGGCTTATTTCCCTGACCCACTATTGATGGATGTTGGGTTGCTTTCAAGTCTTGAGATATGAGAGTGTCACAATTAAGATCCATGTTCATAGATCTTTATACACACTTGTAGGATAAATTCATAGAAGAGCAACAGCTGAATCTGAGTGTGCTAAGCTTTGTCGTGCAATGTCAGGCCCAGCCTGGATGGTAAATGCCATGGGACTCTGGGAATAAGCGGATGTATAAAGGCAGGACGAGGCATGAGGGTCACAGATTGCAGGTGGCATCACTACTCACTAAGTCCTTGAGCAAACATTTGTCGAATCTGACTCAGCCAACCGGCTCTGGGAAGGAAGGTGAGGATCATATCTGCAATTCAGCGCACAGGCCTATTGAACCACACTACCCGGCCCCAGGCTTGAAATTTTCTTTGACCTTGCATTTATCAACCACCCTTTTTTCTCTTTTTTTTGAAACGGAGTCTCGCTGTCTCCCAGGCTGGAGTGCAGTGATGCGATCTCAGCTCACTGCAACCTCTGCCTCCCGGGTTCAAGCAATTCTCCTGCCTCTGTCTCTAAATAGCTGGGATTACAGGCACGTGCTACCACCCCTGGCTAATTTTTACATTTTTAGTAGAGACAGGGTTTCACCATGTTGGCCAAGCTGGTCTTGAACTCCTGACCTCAAGTGATCTGCCCGACTCAGCCTCCCCAAGTGCTGGGATTACAGGCGTGAGCCACAGTGTTCAACACACTTTTCTCCCCTTATGTTTATGTAGTCCAGTAGGTCTCAAACCTGAACAAGGATCAGAATCTCCTAGAGAATTTGTTGGATTTCTGGGCTGCCCCCTGAGAGCTTCTGAGTCAAGAGTGCTAGGTGGGGCCCCAGGAATCTCTTTTTGTCAACAAAGGATAAAAGACATGTTTAAAGAGAGTTGTGGGGGCCGGGCGCGGTGGCTCACGCCTGTAATCCCAACTCTTTGGGAGGCCGAGGCAGGTGGATCACGAGGTCAAGAGATCGAGACCATCCAGGCCAACATGGTGAAACCCCGTCTCTACTAAAAATACAAAAATTAGCTGGGCTTGGTGGCACATGCCTGTAGTCCCAGCTACTAGGGAGACTGAGGCAGGAGAATTGCTTGAACCCAGGAGGCAGAGGTTGCGGTGAGCCGAGATCGCGCCATTGCACTCCAGCCTGGGTAACAAGAACGAAACTCCGTCTCAAAAAAAAAAAAAAAAAAAAAGAGAGTTGTGGGGGTTGGAAAGGAAGGGAGGAGGGAGAGTCGGGAGGGGCACAGGGAAGCTGCAGTGACATCTCTAACAGTACTCTCCTGCCCTCAGGTTACAGCCACCCTGCCCTGCTGAAACTCATCCAACAGCCTCAAAATGCGGTAGGTCTTGGGGTTACACAGAAAAAGGCACAATGTGTTCATGGCCATTCACAGACTTACTGGGCAGACTTTGGCAATAGTCCACTCATTCATTCATTCATTTATTCATTTCAAAAATATTTACTGAGCCCATACTATGTGCCAGATATATAGAATACCTTGGTAAACAAAAACGCAGGCAGTCAATTAACCACACACGTGAATAGAGAATTGCAGCCATACTAAGTGCTACAGAGTAAGGTCGGCAGTGCTTTGTGGGCGTAAAAGAATGACACTAATAGTTAATGTTTATGGAGAGCATAATTTGTACCAAATGCTATAATCAGCACTTTACAGCTATAGTGTTGAAAAGTCTGTGAAGCAGGTACTCTTGTTATCCCCATTTTACAGATGCAGAAACTGAAGCACAGAGTGGTTAAGTATTTGCCCAAGGTCACACAGCTAGTGGAGGCACTGAGAATAAACCCACAGAAGCTGAGCTATTTGGGGATGGAGCGGGTGGGTGTCGGGGAGGCTTCCCAGGGAAATGATATTTCAGCTGAGATCAGAGGAAGGTCTGGCAGGTCATGAGTCCTGAGTCAGGAAGAGGCCTAGCAGGGATGAATGAAAACCCAATCCTGGTCCCAGCAGGGAGAAGAGGGCACCTGGGAAGGCAGCAGCATGGCTGGAGCAGAGAGAGTGAGTAGGGACCCCAGGAGGACTGGAGTAGCAGCAGGGGCACAGCGTTTTCAGATGCCGCCTAGACCAGGGGTTCTGAACGCTCGCACCATGGACATCCATAGCCAGAGAATTCTGTGTTTTGTGGGGGCCGTCCTGTATATTGAGACACTGAGCGGCATTCCTGGACTCTACCCACTAAATGCCAGGAGCACCTCTCTCCTGAGGTTGTCACAACCAGAAATGTCTGCAGACATACCCAGATGTCCCCTGGTGGACACAGTCACCCCAGGTGAGAACCCCTGCAGTAGAAGACTTCCATCTCTCTCCTGAGAGAGGTTGAAAGCCATTGCACATTTATACTAAAGTATATGGCAGGGTGTGGTGGCTCAAGCCTGTAATCCCAGCACTTTGGGCGGTTGAGGCAGGCAGAACACTTGAGGTCAGGAGTTCGAGACCAACCTGGCCAGCATGGTGAAACACCGTCTGTATTAAAAATACAAAATTAGCCAGGTATGGTGGTGCAAGCCTGTGAATCCCAGCCACTTGGGAGGCTGAGGCAGGAGAATCGCTTGAACCCAAGAGGAGGAGGTTGCAGTGAGCTGAGATGGTGCCACTGGCCTCCAGCCTGGGCAACAGAGGGAGACTCCATCTCAAAACAAACAAAACAAAAAAAGTGTAACCCATGCAGACATGCATAGAGCCTAAATGCACCACTCAATGAATATTCCTGTGTCACTCAGCATTTCACAACTTTTTTTTGTTATTGGAACATCCCCTTAAGGAGCATTTTTCGACAGTATTTTCCTAATTGTTCCCTATCCTGAAATTGTAATACATAAATGCAGTACATATGGAGTGTATCTGTGTGTTATATTTATGTCTGTGCTTTATATGGAACAGAGTAGGATTTTTTTTCACTCCTTTTGAGAATGCACGAATTGTAATGGGAAATCAGAACATGTCCCCACCCAGTTATTATTCCTTCCAGCTAAATTAAGTAGACCACTCCCCTTACTTTTAACAGACTGCTGCATTTCTCCAGTTTTGTTTATTTGTTTTTCTTGAGACAGAATCTTGCTCTGCTGCCCAGGCTGGAGTGCAGTGGTATAATCATGGCTCACTGCAACCTCAACCTCCTGGGCTCAAGCAATCCTCCCACCTCAGCCTCCTAAGTAGCTGGGACTACAGATGCCCACCACCATGTCTGGCTAATTTTTGTGGGGTTTTTTGTTTTGTTTTGTTTTGTTTTGTTTTTTTGGTAGGAGATGGGGTTTCACCATGTTGCCCAGACTGGTCTCCAACTCCTGGGCTCAAGTGATCCTCCTGCCTCCGTCTTTCAAAGTCCTGGGATTACAGGCATGAGCCACCACACCCAGTTGTATTTCTCCAGTTCTTTATCACCACGTCAGTGGAGCTTTGCAGTGTGTATCTTTATCTTCTCTGGCTTATTTCATTCAAAATTATGTCTGGGGTGATAGCTCCTGACGCATGTAATCGCAGACCATCTATCCTCACAGCTTTAGAGTGTTCCCCTCTGTGGATATCCTGCAATCTTACTGTCTGTCCATGGGTATTTGCACAGAGCTTCAGTTCAGGGCTCTTATGAAGACCGCTGCTGTGGGTGGTGGAGTGTGTCTTTTGCTGTACACGTGTGTGTATTTATGTTAGATGTGAAGCTCGGAGTGGAACCGCTGGCCAGACAGCCTCCACGCCGATCGTACCAACTCCACTCCCACAGCCGCAGAGAGTTCCAGTCATCACTGGAGGGTTTTTCTTTGACTCAGAGAGTGACGTACTTATCCACACACAACAAGGAACTTGATCCCAAAAAGAAATCTAAGAAAGGCAGGAGGAGCAAAGGCCCAATCATGGTCAGAAGCACGATCCCTAGCCCTGAAACTTTCCTCCCTTTAAATGAACAGAGTTTGAGCTAATAGGAAAGAACCACATTTCCTTCTTTCTGAATGGGTGTACCCTGCCTGGGAGGGGCCAGGGACACTCTTGCCTTTAATTCGTTGACAGGTTTGGGGCCTGCAGTAGAGGGGACAGGTGTCCTCCTGAAGGTGTCTGACGAGGCCCACTGCGGCCGTAGGCTCCCGGATGTGTTTACATCCAGAGCCTGGCTTTGTTTTGAAATGTTGTACAGATCCCAGATGCCTTGGCAGTTGGTGCTTTAAAAAGAATGTGTCAACAAACATGTCAGAACCGCCTCCGGAGGCAGAATCGTCCCCAACAACCTGTGACGTCATTACCCAGAGATTCTGGCTGGGTGTAGTGGCTCATGCCTGTAATCTTAGCACTCTGGGAGGCTGAGGCAGAAGGATCCTTGAGGCCAGGAGTTGGAGACCAGCCTGGGCAACATAGCGAGACCCTGTCTGTAGGAAAACTGTTTTTAAAAAAAAATTAGCCAGGCGTGACGGTGCATACCTGCAGCTACTCAGGAGGCTGAGGTGGGAGGATCACTTTAGCCCAGGAAGGTAAAGCTGTAGTGAACCGTAATCTCACCGCTGCACTCTAGCCTGGGCAACAGACTGAGACCTTGCCTCTAAAACAAAACAAAACAAAAACATATTTCAAAAAACAAAGGCCCAGGGATTCTGATTTCAGGGAACAGTGCTACCCTGTCCCTGCCAGGAATTTCCCCAACTTTCCCTACCCCGCCTCACCTCTCTCTCACCTCTCACCTGGTTGGGGACTGGTCCTAACCGTCACATCTCCCACATGGATTTCTGTCAACGACCTCTTCCCATCGATCCCTCCCACTTCCCTTCTCACCTCCTCCAAACCATCCTCCAAACTGCACCATGCATGGAACCCTTCCCCGGTACTCACGGCCTTAGGGATGTGTCCCAATCTCCTCTACCTCAAATACCAAGCCCTTGGAGAGCTGCCTCCCCCTTTCTTCTTTAGCCTTATTGCTTGACATTTGCTCATTCATTGGTTATTGACTGAACGCTTCAGTGTGACACGCACTGTTTTCGGTGCTGGGATTTGATGGTGAATCCGCGGTCTCCATCCCAGTCTGGGCCGAGTTGTTCTGCAGAGGAACTGAGTTTGAGGCTTAATGAAATGAGCACCCTGCTGCAGTCTTAGAGAGGTGGTAGCTGACGTCCAGGGGCTAAAGGGTTTTCAGCGGGACACGCCCAGGGCAGCAGGCTGGGCGCCTTTGGCTGACATCTTGGGTCTTCCAGGTTTTTGGCTGAAGATAACTCAGGTGACAGCAATGGTATTCCACCTGTACAGGGCAGGTTCCTGCCAGCTCACCAAAGTCTTGAGAAGGGGTTTATCAACCCTTTTGCACCCTAAACCAAAACCTCAAACTCTGCCATATAGTTATTTCATGTGACTTCCTAAAAATGAAACCATGTCCCCTGGATCTAATGTCTGGGTTCCAATTATGATATATTTTTTTGAAGACAGAGTTTCACTCTTGTTGCCCAGGCTGGAGTGCAATGGCGCAATCTTGGCTTAGCACAACCTCCGCCTCCTGGATTCAAGTGATTCCCCTGCTTCAGCTTCTTGAGTAGCTGAGATTACAGGTGTGCACCACCACACCCGGCTAATTTTTGTACTTTTAGTAGAGACGGGGTTTCACCGTGTTGGTCACCAGGCTGGTCTCAAAGTCCTGACCTCGTGATCTGCCCACCTCAGCCTCCCAGAGCGCTAGGACTGCACGTGTGAGCCGCTGCTCTTTTCTTCTTTCCTCCATTTTCTTTCTCCTTCCTCCTCCTTGTTCCTTCTTCTTCCTTCTTCTTCTTCTCCTCCTCCTCCTTCTTCTTTCTTCTAGCAGGGTCTCTCTGTCACCCAAGCTGGAGTGGAGCGGCTTGATCCGGGCTCACTGCAGCCTCAAACGCCTAGACTCATAAGATCCTTTCACCTCAGCCTCCTAAGTGAAGAGGATTGGAGGCGTGAGCCACAGTGCCCAACCTCCGGTTACTGTTTCTTATGTCACCAGGACCATCTCGTTCCATTGCGCACAAGTTATAAAATAATCATGAAGATCGCATGTGCACAGTCACATTGCAGCAAATGCACATAGCACAGCAGGCCTGACCAAGTAAGACACCTGCCATCCTGTGCCCTCTGGGCCTTTCTCTCTGCATGACTCTTCCTTTGAGACTGAACTCCTGCATCCTCTGTATGCCATATCGTCTCACTGGTTCCTTACAAGCACCTAGTGAACAGTCTCCAGTTTGGCAGATGAGAAACCCATAGCTCAGAGAGGTTAAGTTAGTTGCCCAAGGTTGCACAGCCACTAAAGCCAAAGTTGAGTCTCTTCTTGCTGTACCCTAAGACTGCCGAGCTGACTGCAAGGATTTAGAAACCTATCCTCATCTGATCCTGATACCCGATGTCCTAGATAACTTCTGTTCTTACTGTCACGCTCTCTTGAACGAGAACATCACCCCCACATTGTTCCTAGACCCAGATAGGCTGTCAAGCTGCCAGCCAGCCCCGCTGTCCCCTTCTGGGAGCCACTTCCCTGCTGCCAGTGAGGACCAGCCTGCTTCTACCCTAATCTCAGGATGTGATTTTTTTAGGAGCCCCACTGACAGGTCAGAGCGAGAAGGAAATGCTCCTCAAAGTCCCCTCCAAGATTGGGCACAGTGGCTCACCCTTGTAATCCCAGCACCTTGGGAGGCTGAAGCAGGCAGATCACTTGAGTCCAAGAATTTGAGACCAGCCTGGGAAACAATGGTGAAACCCCATCTCTATAAAAAATACAAAAAAATTAGCTGGATATGGTGGGCATGCCTGTAGTCCCAGTTATTTGGGAGGCTGAGGTGGGAGGATTGCTTTAACCTGGGAGGTCAAGGCTGCAGTGAGCTGATATCACGCTATTGCACGCCAACAACCTGGGAGACAGAGTAAGACTCTGTTTCATAAAAAAAAAAAAAAAAAAAAAAAAAAAAAAAAAAAAAGCCCCTTCAAGGCAAGCCAAGGTCTCTGGGCTGTGCCAAGTGTGAGCATCTTTAGGTGGAGGCTGCCTAGAGTGTCTGACAGAGCATGGCATCTGAAGTCAGCAAACCTAGATTTAAGTTGTAGTTCTGCATCTTCTTGGCTGTGTGACTTGGGGCAAGTTGCTAGAACTCTCTGGTCCTCAGTCTCCCCAACTCTATAATGAGGAGGGTTAACTTCCCTCACTATTTATCCTAGACCCCACTGAGTGATTGCAAAGCAGAGAATGCAAGATGCAAGAATCTGCCAGTTTCTAGCAGCTCAAGCCAAGTCCGAAAGCCACTGGGAGAATCACCCCTGGGGACCCCTCTACACTTGCTTCCCGTCCTCTACAGTGATGCTGCTATTTGGATTTGCACTGGTGTATTACACTGATATTGCCCAAGAGTCCCCAAATCCCAGTATAATCCTCCCATTTTTATTTTCTTTATTATTATTATTTTTGAGACCGCCTCACTTCACTGTGTTACTCAGGCTAGGGTACATTGGCACAATCACGGCTCATGCAGCCTCGACCTCCCGGGGCTCAAGCTATCCTCCCAGCTCAGCCTCCCTAGTAGCTGAGACTATAGACCCGTGCCACCGCACCTGGCTAAAGTTTTTGTATTTCTTGTAGAGATGGGGCCTCACCTGGTTTCCCAGACTGCCTTATCCTTTTCCCAGTGGAGAAAGGTTTGGTTTGTTTCCATTTTTTGGCAACTGAGTTTAAAAGCTCCAGATCCTTCCACCTCGATCTCCCAAAATGCTGAGATTACAGGCATGAGCTGCTGCGCGCAGCCATTTTTATAACTGGAATATTTTATTTTAGAATAATTTTAGATGTACTGACAAGCTGGAAAGACAGTTCACATCCAGCTTTGCCTAGCTCCCTTGAACGTTAACATCTGACCTCACCAGGTACATTTGTCAAAACAATTTGTACAAATTAGCATTGATACCTGACACATCACAGACTTTATTTGTATTTCTTCAGTTTTTCCACTTACGTCCTTTTTTCTGTTGTTCTAGGATCCAATCCAGGATGCCACATTGCATTTAGTACAATCCCTTTTTTTTTTTTTCAGACAGAGTCTTGCTCTGTCACCCACACTGGAGTGCAGTGGTACGATTTCAGCTCAGTGAAACCTCCATCTCCCAAGTTCAAGCAATTCTCCTACCTCAGCCTCCTGAGTAGCTGAGATTACAGGCACGTGCCACCACACCTGGCTGTTTTTTGTTTGTTTGTTTTTGTTTTGTATTTTTAGTAGAGATGGGGTTTCACCATATTGGTAAGGCTGGTTTCGAACTCCTGACCTCAAGTTCTCTGCCCACCTTAGCCTACCAAAGTGTTGGGCTTTGAGGCGTGAGCCACCACGCCTGACCACAATCCCTTTTTATAACCCAAATCCACTTCCTTGTTAATCCACTGTTTATCCCTAGTGTAGACTCCTCCGAGTCTTTGCAGTCTCCGCTGTGGCCTGAGGGCAACCCCCCTGCAACCTCCACCTCTGTTTCTTGAAGAGCTGAACTATTCTGCATTCACTGGCTTTAACACATTTGCCACTAAATCTAACACAGCTGTATCCTCCACATTGATAGCTTGTTCTGATCAGTAAAGGGTGACAAGGTTATTTTAAGGATAAGTAGACAGGGCGAGGTAGCTTGTGCCTGTAATCCCAGCACCTTGCGGGGCCAAGATGGGAGGATCACTTAAGCTCAGGAGTTTAAGACCAGCCTGGGCAACATGGTGAGACCTCATTTCTACAAAAAAAAAAAAAAAAAAAAAAAAATCTGGGCAAGGTGGTGCACGCCTGTAATCTCAGCTACTCAGGAGGCTGAGGCACCTAGAACCATGCCTTTGTTTCAGATCCAGGAGGTGAAGGGTTTTCTTCAAGAACGCATCTGCAGGAGTGTGTCCTGTCCCTTGGTCAGGGGTAGTTTTAAGATATTTTTGGCCAAGGTTTTAAGGTTAGTGCACACTACAATCTGCACTTGTCAGTCAGTCACAGTGGCAAGATGACATGGTGGCGTGCGCCTGTAATGCCAGCGCTTTGGGAGGAGGATTGCTTGAGTCCAGGAGTTCAAGACCAGCCTGGGCATGATGACAAGAGTCCATCTCTAACCAAATATGTATATATATATACTGGAATTTGGTGGCATGAGCTCCCTCTGGCTGCATTTTTGCTCTGCAGCCACAGGGCAAGGCTGGCCTGCCTCTTACACAAACACTTCATCTCAGTCACCACACTCATTTCCTGAGCGACCCCCCTACTGCTTAGAAATTTTAGAGCTGCCATTGCCTCATAATGCTTTTTTTCTTCTTTATTTTTTAAAAATTAGGGCACCATTTGTATGCAGTAAAATCCCGCCTTCTTAGTACACAGTTCTGCAGGTTTGGACAAATGCATAGGCATTAGTCACCATCAAAATCCAGACACATTTACACACCCCTGTCCACAGCCACATGATTCACAGTGGCCAACAGTTAGAAGCAACCTCAGTGTCCATCAACGGATGAATGAACACAGTGTGGTCTGTTAATACAGTGGAATAGTATTCAGCCTTAAAAAGGAAGGAAATTCTGGCCAGGCACAGTGGCTCACGCCTGTAATCCCAGCACTGTAGGAGACCAAGGCAGGTGGATCACTTGAAGTCAGGAGTTCAAGACCAGCCTGGCCAACATGGTGAAACTCTGTCTCTAATACAAATACAAAAATTAGCTGGGCATGGTGGCCTGCGCCTGTAGTCCCAGCTACTCGGGAGGCTGAGGCACGAGAGTCACTTGAATCCAGGAAGCAGAGGTTGCAGTGAACTGAGAATATGCCACTGCCCTCCAGCCCGGGTGACAGAACGAGACCCTATCTCAATAAAAAGTGGGGGGGTGTAGGGAGTTGGGGAGGGAGGGAGGGAGGGAGGGAGGAAGGAACTGCCGAACTTCTTTTCAAAGCGGCTGTACCATTTTACCTTCTCACCAGCTGGGAACAAGGATTCTAGTTGCTCTACATCCATGATAGTACTTGTTATTGTCCATTTTTGGGTTTTAGCCTTTTTTTTTTTTTTTTTTTTTTTGAGGCTGAGTTTCTCTCTTGCTGCCCAGGCTGGAGTGTAATGGTGCAGTCTCGGCTCACCGCAACCTCCGCCTCCCGGGTTCAAGCGATTCTCCTGCCTCAGCCTCCTGAGTAGCTGGGATTACAGGCACCCACTACCAGGCCCAGCTAATTTTTGTATTCTTAGTAGAGATAAGGTTTCACCTTGTTGGCCAGGCTGGTCTCAAACTCCTGGCCTCAAGCAATCCACCCACCTCGGCCTCCCAAAATACTAGGATTACAGGTGTGAGGCACTGCGCCTGGCCTGTTTTCCAGTCATTCTGATGGTTAAATATATAAAGAAAGAGTTTCACAGGAAGTTGCAGAAACCAGTACAAAGAGTCCCAAGTACCCTTAGCTCAGTTTTCCCCAGCGGCAGTAGCATCCTATATAACAACAGTGCAATATTGCAACCAGGAAATTGACCCTTTTATAAAACATCCACAGCAATCCTTGTGGATTTCTCTAAAAGGTTAAGGAAACCTGCCATGCCCCACACTGACAGAACATCACTGTCTGCAACCCCCCTGGGAGGCTTTTTGAACACAGGGGCTAGGAAGTGCTGCTTGTGGGCAGGGAGCTGGGTCAGGCCCCCAGAAGTCACTGTTTGTCTCTTGGCCATTTGCAGAGCACATTCGTCAACAGACCCGCACTAGGAATCCTGCCTCCGGAGAACTTTGTGGAGAAGCTCCGGGAGTCCTTGCTCTCAGTGAGTTCTGGAGTGGCAGTCCCACGGTCTTCAGACGCGGTAGTGGCAGAGAAAGGGAAGAATGGAGATGCAAACCATGAAGAATAAGGCGTTGTACGGAAATCCTTCTCTGCACCCATTCTTCCCTGCAGAGTATTTTCAATTTCTCTTTTAAAGAACAGAGGGATTCTTTGTGCAGGACAAAGGGAGCTGGGAAACGAATATTTACCGCAGATAGGAGTTTTGCATATGTCCTTCAGCCCTGCCCCTGCTTCTCGGTTTTAGTTGTTACCAACAATTAAAGTCATTGGGAACCTCAGCATCCCGTCTGGAACACGTAGGTGTCTTAGGCGGCGTCAGGTGCGTCAGGAGGGACACAGTGAGCTTTGCCACCCTTCTTTTCTCTCCACCAGCCTCAGGGCCTCCCTGGGCTTCTCCTCCACTCCTGGAAAGGCCTGAGTCCATCCTCCCAGTCCAGCGGCTTCCAGGACAGCCCTGGTTCCCTCCGTCCCCAGCATGGCCCTGTGAAGATTCAGCCCCGGCCAGGGGAAGCAGCAGTGCAGGAGTCACGATGAGCCTGGGCTCACGGCTGTTTCCCTCCCTGCAGGTGGCTCCCAAAGGGATGTCCCAGCTCATCACCATGGCCTGCGGCTCCTGCTCCAATGAAAACGCCTTCAAGACCATCTTCATGTGGTACCGGGTGAGCTTTGGGGTACACAGCCACAGACACACAGACACACACACACACACACAGCCTCCCCAGCACCCAGCCACACGCTCACCCCTTGTCTGACTGTTCATTCCAGTGCACTGGAGTATTAGATGTCTGTACCAGGGTTAAAATCCAGGGAGGGCCACTGCTGGATGGCACTTTCCAGACAGCCCAGTGGAGCATGGTGCAAAGGGCTGAGGCTTCAGCATCAAAATTATGCAGTGGGGCTGAGCGCAATGGCTCACATCTGTAATCGCAGCACTTTGAGAGGCAAAGGCAGACGGATCACTTGAGCCCAAAAGCTTGAGACCAGCCTGAGCAACATGATGAAACCCCATCTCTACTTAAAAAAGTTCATAAATTAGGCCAGGTGTGGTGGCTCATGCCTGTAATCCCAGCACTTTGGAAGGCTGAGGCAGGCGGATCACAAGGTCAGGAGATCGAGACCATCCTGGCTAACATAGTGAAACACTGTCTCTACTAAGAATATAAAAAATTAGCCAGGCATGGTGGCATGCGCCTGTAGTCCCATCTACTTTGGAGGCTGAGGCAGGAAAAGTCTAATACCCTGAATCTACAAAGAATTAAAACAGATTTACAAGAAAAAAACAAACAAACCCATCCAAAAATGGGCAAAGGATATGAACAGACACTTTTCAAAAGAAGACATATATGAGGCCAACAAACATATGAAAAAATGCTCATCATCACTGGTCATTAGAGTAATGCAAATTAAAACCACACTGAGATGCCACCTCACACCAGTTAGAATGGTGATCATTAAAAAATCTAGAGACAACAGATGCTGGAGAGGATGCGGAGAAATAGGAACACTTTTACACTGTTGGTGGGAGTGTAAATTAGTTCAGTCGTTGTGGAAGACAGTGTGGCGATTCCTCAAGGATCTAGAAAGAGAAATCCCATTTGACCCAGCAATCCCATTTCTGGGTATATAGCCAAAGGATTATAAATCATTCTATTATAAAGACACACACACACATATGTTCACTGCGGCACTGTTTACAATAACAAAGACCTGGAACCAACCCAAATACCCATCGACGATAGACTGGACAAGGAAAATGTGGCCCATATACACCGTGGAATACTATGCAGCCATAAAAAATGGTGAGTTTGAGTCCTTTGCAGGGACATGGATGAACCTGGAAACCATCATTCTCAGCAAACTGACACAAGAACAGAAAATCAAACACCTCATGTTCTCACTCATAGGTGGGTGTTGAACAATGAGAACACATGGACACAGGGAGGGGAGCATCACACATGGGTCTGTTGGGGGGGTGCCAAGGGAAGGACAGCCAGGTGGGTAGGGAGGTGGAAAGGGATAACATGAAGAGAAATGCCAGATGTAGGTGACGGCGGGGTGGAGGCAGCAAACCACATTGCCATGTGTGTACCCATGTAACAATCCTGCATGATCTACATGTACCCCAGAGCCTAAAGTACAATTTAAAAAAAGAAACAACTATGCAGTGTGACTACTCTATTTTATTTTATTTAAATATTTAAATTTAATTTTATTTAAATATTTTAAATTGCAGAGGCAGAGTCCCACTTTGTCACCCAGCCTGGTCTCAAGCTCTGGGTCTCCAGCAATCCCCCTGTCTTAGCCACCCAAAGTACTAGGATTACAGATTTGAGCCAGCACACCTGGCCTCCGTTCTTCCTGGCAAAACATATACGGTCTCAGCAGATCTTAATCCAACAGATTTTCATCATTGCTGATGGTGCTTAATGCATTCTGTGTGTTTGTTTCTTTTGTTGCAAGCACGGTTAATAGCCTCGTGTTTCAGTACAGACCTGTAACAATTAATACCTGAGATCATCTCCTGAAAAAGCACTTTCTACTTGTCTGGACTGAATATCGGTTTGGTTGGAAAGTTGAAGCCCCAACTACGCTAGAGCTTCTCTGAAATTATGTTCTGTTCTATTTTTTTTAGAGCAAGGAAAGAGGGCAGACAGGCTTCTCCCAGGAGGAACTGGAGACATGCATGATTAACCAGGTGAGTGCAGCTGGGTTTGCACCGCGTGTATCTGGGGTTGCTGCACAGCACCCCTCGGGCTGTTGCCGGCTGGCTGGCACTGTCCTTCTCAATGAGGAAGGGCCAGGCTGGGCACAGTGGTTCATGCCTGTAATCCCAGCACTTTGGGAGGCCAAGGAGGGTGGATCACCTGAGGTCAGGAGTTTGAGACCAGCCTGGCCAACATGGTGACACCCCATCTCTACCAAAAAGACAAAAATTAGCCCGGATTGCTGGTGCACACATGTAATCCCAGCTACTCTGGAGGCTGAGGTAGGAGAATCGCTTGAAACCGGGAGGTGGAGGTTGCAGTGAGCCGAGATCACACCACTACACTCAAATCTGGGCAACAAAGTGAGAGTCTTCTCAAAACAAATGAAAACAAAAAGCCAGCTGCTGTGTCCCATGCCTGTAATCCCAGCACTTTAGGAGGCCACGGTGGAAGGATCATGAGGTCAGGAGTTCCAGACCAGCTTGGCCAACATGGTGAAACCCCATCTCTACTAAAAATACAAAAATTATCCAGGTGTGGTGACAAGGGCCTGTAATCCCAGCCACTCGGGAGGCTGAGGCAAGAGAATCGCATGAACCCGGGAGGCAAAAGTTGCAGTGAGCCAAATCACACCATTACACTCCAGCCTGGGCGAAAGAGCGAGACTCCATCTCAAAACAACAACAACAGAAAGGAGGGGCTCCCCAGGCGTTCCCAGTTTCCAGTGTGTTCCCTGGGTATCAAGGCTGATGGAGGCCAGGCACGGTGGCTCACACCTGTAATCCCAGCACTTTGGGGGGCCACAGTAGGTGGACCACTTGAGGTCAGGAGTTTGAGATCAGCCAGGCCAATGTGGTGAAACCCAGTCTCTACTAAAAATATAAAAATTAGCCGGGCGTGATGGCCCAGCCCTGTGGTCCTAGCTACTTGGGAGGCTGAGGCAGGAGAATCACTTGAACCCAGGAGCCAGAGGTTACAGTGAGCAGAGATTGAGCCGCTGTACTCCAGCTTGGATGACAGAATGAGACCCTGTTTAAAAAAAAAAAAAAGGCCAAGTGAAGATCTCCCTGACCAGGCTTCACCAGTTTCTTAGGACAACTTCCTGAATTTGACAGGTGTCCAAAGGCCATTAACGTAGTCTCTAGAATAATCCAAATTGTCAGCAGGAATGTATACTCATGAATATTCACCCCACTGGTGTTTATAGTAATAACAACCAGAAAAGACTAGAAATCACCCGTACTAGGGGAAAGATTAATTAGATGTAGGGATTCAAAGTGGAACCACAGAGGCCACTGCTGGCTATCAGAGGTGGCTAGGGGCCGCAGGGAAAACCAGGCAGGTGGGATTCCAAGCTCCCTACCCAGCTTCAAGCAGAACAGACCTGGCCTCCTCTGTATTATGTATGAGATCCCATTAAGATTTAGACAGAAGCGTCTGCTGCTTTAAATATATATATATATACTGTTTTATGATCATCTACAAACAAAAAACAAGGCCGGGCATAGTGGCTTATGCCTGTAGTCCCAGCACTTTGGAAGGCCGAGGCAGGAGGATTGCTCGAGCCCAGGAGTTCGAGACCAGCCTGGGCAGCAAAGTGAGACCCTGACTCAAAAAGGTTTTTTTAATTTAAAAAAAAAAATAGGAGCCACTGAACTTAATTACCCTCTGCTAACATTCCAATATTCTGCAGCAAAAATAGTTATGTAGGGTTTCTCTTGGTCTGGACGTGTTTGCTATATTTTGGAAAAGTAGAATGTAAATCATATGGTCACCGTGCTTTCAAACAGGTAAATAAATATATAGGAAAATACTAGATGGAATCCTGCCAAAATGTTTATAATGGCTTGCCTCTGGGTGGTGAGACAGGGTTGTTGTAGTTTTTAAATGCTTTCTTTTTTTTTTTTTTTTTTTTTTTTTTTTTTTTGAGACAGAGTCTTGCTCTGTCGCCAGGCACCAGGCTGGAGTACAGCATCGTGATCTCGACTCACTGCAGCCTCCGCCTCCCGGGTTCAAGCAGTTCTCCTGCCTCAACCTCCCAAGTAGCTGGGACTACAGGCATGCTCCACCATGCCCAGCTAATTTTTGTATTTTTTTTTTAGTAGAGACGGGGTTTCACCACGTTGCCCAGGATGGTCTCAATCTCTTGACCTCGTGATCCACCCACCTTGGCCTCCCAAAGTGCTGGGATTACAGGTGTGAGCCACCACGCCCAGCCGTAAATGCTTTCTTAATATATATTTTTTCCTAACTATACCTCTTGCTAGAAAATGTAGCTCTACCTTTCTCCATATTCAAATAAACTTATATTTAAAAAAGTTCTTTTTTTTTCCTTGCCCTTTTTTATGGACCTTATCCTATCTCTCTTTTTCTCTCTGTCTCTTTCTCTCTCTCTCTTTCTGTCTCTCTCTCTCTCTCTCTCTCTCTCTCTTTTTCCTGAGACAGGGTCTCACTCTGTTCCCCAGGCTGGAGTACTGTGGTGCAGTCATGGCTTAATGAAGCTTCAACCTCCAAGGTTCAAGCGATCCTCCTGCCTCAGCCTCCTGCATACCTGAGGCTACAGGCACATGCCACCACACCCGGCTAATTTTTTTTTTTTTTTTTTTTGTAGAGGCAGAGTCTAGCTATGTTGGCCAGGCTGGTTTCGAACTTTTGAGCTCAAGTGAGCCTCCTGCCTCAGCTTCCCAGCGTGTTGAGATTAGAGGTGTGAGCCACCATGCCCAGCCTCCTACCGCTTTCTCTAACTCTGTTTTGCTTACTTGCTATCTGTGGGCATCGTAGACCATTGACATTTTTGGATCTCATTCTTTATCATTTGTGGCTGAATCCAAATATGCAAAATGATGTGTATATATTAATTACATATACAATCAGCAGACAAACCAAAAAATGAGAAGAAGCCAGGTGCTGTGGCTCATGCCTGTGATCCCAGCACTTTGGGAGGCCAAGGTGGGTGGATCACCTGAGGTCAGGAGTTCAAGAGCAGCCTGACCAACATGGCGAAACCCTGTCTCTACTAAAAATTTTAAAATTAGGCCAGGTGCAGTGGCTCAAGCCTGTAATCCCAGCACTTTGGGAGGCCGAGGCGGGTGGATCACGAGGTCAAGAGATCGAGACCATCCTGGTCAACATGGTGAAACCCCGTCTCTACTAAAGGTGCAAAAAATTAGCTGGGCATGGTGGCGCGTGCCTGTAATCCCAGCTACTCCAGAGGCTGAGGCAGGAGAATTGCCTGAACCCAGGAGGTGGAGGTTGCGGTGAGCCGAGATTGCGCCATTGCACTCCAGCCTGGGTAACAAGAGCGAAACTCCGTCTCAAAAAAAAAAAAAAAAAAAAAATTTAAAAATTAGCCAGGCGTGGTGGTGGGCACCTGTAATCCCCGCTACTCAGGAGGCTGAGGTAGGAGAATCACTTGAATCAAGGATAGGAGAGGTTGCAGTGGGCCAAGATCGTACCACTGTGCTCCAGTCACCTCAAAAAAAAAAAAAAGAAAATGATAAGATGGTTTCTGGAATTTGTAGGAGGAGGTCTTAGGGTTGTACCCAGAGGTCTCAGGGAACTGGTGCTCAGCCAGCCTGATAAAATGCCAACCTCCCAGAGACTCGGGGTTCCCCGCAGTTGCCTCTGAGGCACCTCCAGCAGTTCTGCCTGAGTCAGCTGGAAACATGTTTGGATTTCCTTGCTGAGCAAAGAGTCAGAAAACAATGTGCGGAGTGGCAGCTGGGCCATTTGCTTGGGACTGGGAAGGGACAGGGCATCCGTGTACCCCTCCTGAATCGGAGGTGCAGCTGCCATGGGCACGCGCCCAGTGGGCCCCTCCCCTTGCCTGCTTTCTAGCACCGCAGACCTCTTCCAAAGGCCTGGAGCATTTCCTGCAGGGTGCCCAGCTCAGCCCCTTGCCTCAGGTTACCCTGGGAAGCAGATGTGCACCCATCAACACCTGACGGGCTGAGACCTGCAGAGGCCTGAGTAGTAGGAAGCCAGGAGGTGGGGAGGAAGTGGAAGGCCTGTAGAACAGGGCCTGAAAACCCAGGAGTCCCCAGCAGCTGGAGGAAGCTGGGCAGTGGGTGCTGCTTGGCCACCTATGGATGCCACAGAAGGAAAATGGGTCCAAACGGTGCAGTCTTGGTGAGAAGTCAAAAGTTCAGGTATTTATATGAAATTTCTTGATTTTAAATTTTGTGACTTGTTTTTGAGACAGTCTCACTCTTGTTGACCAGGCAGAGGTGCGGTAACTCGGCTCACCGCAACCTCGGCCTCCTGGGTTCAAGCAATTCTCCTGCCTCAGCCTCCCAAGTAGCTGGAATTACAGGCATGTGCCACCACATCCAGCTAATTTTTGTGTTTTTAGTAGAGACAGGGTTTCACCATGTTGGCCAGGCTGGTCTTGATCTCTTGTCCTTGTGATCCAGCCTGAAATTTCTTCATTTTAACTTTTGTAACTTTTTTTTGAGACAGAGTCAGGCTGAGTGCAGTGGCACAAACTCGGCTCACTGCAATCTCCGCTTCCCGGTTTCAAGCGATTCTGCCTCAGCCTCCCGAGTAACTGGGATTACAGGCATGTGCCACCATGCCTGGCTAATTTTTATATTTTTAGTAGAGGTGGGGTTTCACCATGTTGGCCAGGCTGATCTCAGACGCCTGACCTCAGGTGATCTGCCCGCCACAGCCTCTCAAAGTGCTGGGATTACAGGCGTAAGCCAACATGCCCGGCCTAAATTTTGCAACTTAAAAAAAAAAAAAAAAAAAGTATGTATGCAAAACAAAACGTGTGTCTTTGATATAGACCCAATGGTCCCATGTGTAACTTCTGCCTGAGAAGGATTCCTCGTTCTCCTGATAGATTTCTGTGTCCCTCTGGGCTTGCAGGGGCAACGATACAGTTCCCCCATCCTCACCGTGACTAATGACTGATATGTCTTGGTTCTAGGCCCCCGGCTGCCCCGACTACAGCATCCTCTCCTTCATGGGCGCGTTCCACGGGAGGACCATGGGTAAGGAGGGACCAGTGTGTTCCCAAGGTGGCATTTAGCGTAATAATAACGGCAGCTATTGCAGGGGCTGACTTTGGCAGTTTACACATATTGTCCCACCAATTCCACACAGTCCCCTGCAGAGTGGGGATTATTATTCCTGCTTTGCAGATGTGCAGGTCAGGGTTCAAGAAGAGGAAGAATTTCCAAGACTATTCAGTGACAGAGCTGGGATTTGAACTCTTGACTCCATCTTCAAAGTCTGGGCTGCATCTGTGATTAATCGCAATGCAGACACGTACCCATGCACGCATGCCAATTAAGGGTGCGCACGTTCCCCTTCAGCTTCAGGATGAGAACTGGGGTTCAGTATCAAAACATCTCATGTACACCCCAAGTATTTACACCTACTGTACACTCAGAAAAATGAAAAATTAAGTGATAAAAAGAACCAGGCAACAGGCCTCCCTGCCCGTTGACAGCCTCAAGCTGAAATGCCCATCATCTCCTTTGCAAAGATAAGAAGCGTTCCCCAAGCCAAGCGTCTGCTTTTCTGTTTTGCTGAACTCAGGTTGCTTAGCAACCACACACTCCAAAGCCATTCACAAGATCGACATCCCTTCCTTTGACTGGCCCATCGCACCGTTCCCACGGCTGAGATACCCTCTGGAGGAGTTTGAGAAAGAGAATCAACAGGAGGAGGCCCGCTGTCTGGAAGAGGTAATGCTTCTACCCTCGAGTCCTCCTTAAACATGAGTCCCATTGCTCTCGCCGCCCTAAGATGTGGTCCAGGAAAAGAGAAAGAGATGAAGAGTTTATCTGGGGATCCGTGTAGTGCTCCCCCAGAGAGACGTAGGGAAACAGAGGCCTTGCATCCCAAATCTTCCGTATTGGGAGAGGTCGTGAGACCGTGTGTTTGTCACAGCACCCATCACTCAACTCTGATACCAATTTCTGTATCACTTAAGTTTCTCGGGAAACAAGCATCAGTGACTCTAAAATAAGAGAAAATAGATTTGTTGAAAGAATATGGGGTCAGGAGTTTGAGTCCAGCCTGGTCAACATGGTGAAACCCATCTCTACTAAAAATACAAAAATTAGTTTGGCATGGTAACGCACACCTGTCATCCCAGCTACTCTGTTGGCTGAGGCACAAGAATCACATGAACCCAGGAGGCGAAGGTTGCAATGAGCTGACCTATTAAGCTACTGCACTCCAGCCTGGGCAACAGAGTGAGATTCTATTTCAAAAATATGTATGTATATATACAAACAATAATACAGTCTTGCTGATCTTTTTTTTGAGACGGAGTTTCGCTCTTGTTACCCAGGCTGGAGTGCAATGTGATCTCGGCTCACCGCAACCTCCGCCTCCCGGGTTCAGGCAATTCTCCTGCCTCAGCCTCCTGAGTAGCTGGGATTACAGGCACGCACCACCATGCCCAGCTAAATTTTTGGATTTTTTTTTTTTTTTTTTTTTTTTTTTGAGATGGAGTTTCGCTCTTGTTACCCAGGCTGGAGTGCAATGGCGCGATCTCGGCTCACCGCAACCTCCGCCTCCTGGGTTCAGGCAATTCTCCTGCCTCAGCCTCCTGAGTAGCTGGGATTACAGGCACACGCCACCATGCCCAGCTGATTTTTTGTATTTTTAGTAGAGACGGGGTTTCACCATGTTGACCAGGATGGTCTCGATCTCTCGACCTCGTGATCCACCCGCCTCGGCCTCCCAAAGTGCTAGGATTACAGGCTTGAGCCACCGCGCCCGGCAATTTTTGGATTTTTTAGTAGAGACAGGGTTTCACCATGTTGACCAGGATGATCTCGATCTCTTGACCTTGTGATCCATCCGCCTCGGCCTCCCAAAGTGCTGGGATTACAGGCTTGAGCCACCGCGCCCGGCCCAGTCTTGCTGATCTTAATAGCAGCCACCACTTTCTGTGTGACAGACACTGTTCTATATTTTCTCTTTGTGTGTGTGAGTGTGTGTGTGTGAATGTTCTCACCTTTATTTCTCTCAATATACCCGTGTTATACCTATTTCCCACACAACAAGGTTAAGTGACAGGTGCATGTTCTGTGTAAAACAGGCAGAACCGTGGCTGAAACATCTAGCCCAGCAACCAACTCATTGTGCTGCATTTTCTCATTCAGTCCTCTCCGTGACCCTGGAAGGTGCAGTCTGTCAGTATGCCCATAGGACACATCAGGAAAGTGAGGCTTCTGAAGGCAAAATAACTTGCCCCAGGTTATTAGTGTGTATCCATCGAGGTGCTAGCACCAATCTCAAGTAGGATACATTCCCATGCACACATGAGGCTTCCAACAGAGGCCTCACTGGTCTTAGGAGATATATACAAACACATTTCCAATAACATTGCATGGGGCTCACGGAACCCTAGATTCTCACCCACGATACTGGTTACGAGCCTCTGCCAGCGGTGGTCACTTTCTCCTTTGGGATCCAGGTGGAGGATCTGATTGTGAAATATCGGAAAAAGAAGAAGACAGTGGCCGGGATCATTGTGGAGCCCATCCAGTCCGAGGGTGGAGACAACCACGCGTCTGATGACTTCTTTCGGAAGCTAAGAGACATCGCCAGGAAGGTCAGTGGACGGAGTCGAGGTCGGATGGAGCCGCGGGGCTTTCTGGGTTGAGTTCCCAGAGTAAAGGGCTAGCAGCATCTCTGCTTTGGAGTCCCTGTCAACCTCCAGACTTGCAGAGGCTCTCTCAGCATCGTGGGTGGAGAAGTTGGGGTTAGGGAAGGATGGGAGAGTCTTCCCTAAAACATATTTTTTATTTGAGACAGAGTCTCACTCTGTTGCCCAGACTGGCGTGCAGTGGCACAATCTCGGCTCACTGCAACCTCCACCTCCCAGGTTCAAGCGATTCTCCTGCCTCAGCCTCCCGAGTAGCTGGGACTACAGAGGTGCCACCACACCCAGCTAATTTGTGTATTTCTAGCAGTGACGGAGTTCCACCATGTTGGCTGGGCTATTTTAGAACTCCTGACATCAGGTGATCCGCCCACCTCAGCCTCCCAAAATGCTGGGATTACAGGCATGAGTAACACACCCGGCCTTAAAATATTTTTTTAAAATCTTTATTAATATGTAATAGTTGTACATGTTTATGGGGTCATGAGATATTTTGATAAAAGCATGCAATGCATCATGATCAAATCTGGGTAATTGGATATCCATCACCTCAAACATTTATCATCTCTTTGTATTGGGAACATTCTAAATCCACTCCTAGTTATTTTGAAATATACAATGGATGATTAACTATAATCACCCTATTGTGCTACTAGACAGTAGATCTTAGTTCTTCTATCTAACTGTACTTTTGTATCCGTTAACCAAGCCCTATTTATCTCCACCTCCCCATTAGCCTTACAGGCTCTGATACCATTCATTCTACTCTTTCTTTATAAGGGCAATGTTTTTAGTTCCCACACCAGTGAGAACGTGCAACATTTGTCTTTCAATGTCTGGCTTATGTCATTTAACATAATGACCTGTAGTTCCATCCACAGCATTGCTAATGACATAATTTCAATCTTTTTAGGCTGAGCAGTATTCCCTTGTGAATATGTACCACATTCTCTTTTTCTTTTTTTCTTTTTTTTTTTTTCTTTTTTTTGAGACAGTTTCACTCTGTTGCCCAGGCTGGAGTGCAGTGGCGCAATCTTGGCTCACGGCAACCTCTGCCTCCTGGGTCCAACCGATTCTCCTGCCTCAGCCTCTTGAGTAGCTGATTACAGGTGCATACCACGACACTCAGCTAATTTTTGTATTTTTAATAGAGATGGGGTTTCGCCTTGTTGGCCAGGCTGGTCTCACACTCCCGCCCTCAGGTGATCTGCCCGCCTCAGCCTCCCAAAGTGCTGGAATAAAAGCATGAGCGACTGTGCCTGGCCAATAGTGTATCTTTACCATATTTACTTTATCCATTCACGGGCAGTTAGATTGATTCTGTATCTTGGCTATTGTGAACAGTATTGCAATAAACACGGAAGTCCAGGTATCTCTTTGACATACTGATTTCCTTTCTTTACATTGTGTGTTTGTTTTCATGTGTTGTGCCTATATAACTGGCAATCAAACCGATAAGTTCATATATAAAAGTTGTAAGACGTGAGTTGACTTAACACAGACGCTGAGTTAGAAATAGCCCTGGTGATAAGCAGAACACAGCAGCTGAAGTCTGGGAAGCACATTCAAGGCCTCGCTGTTGGACACAGCTCCTTCTGACGGGGTTGAGACCTGAGACTGAAGCCAGATGACATACTTTTCTGTGTTGGTGCAGGGAGTATTTGATGTTCTGGGTTTTTTTTTGTTCCAGCTCAGCAGTTTTAGGAAACATTCAGATACAGCTCTGGTAGGAACCGCTCAGCTGAAGTGTTTTGATTAGTTTCGTTGTACACAGCTCAAACACGTGGGGCTGGTTCGCTGTTCAGAAAACAAGCATGATGTGTGTGGACCTGGGGTTTGGCAGTTGGTTGGCTGCGGGGGGTTATGAGTTTCTGGCCTCCCACTGGTACTGATTTCTCCCTCCTCTCTCTCCTCTGGCCAGCATGGCTGTGCCTTCTTGGTGGACGAGGTCCAGACTGGAGGAGGCTGCACGGGCAAGTTCTGGGCCCATGAGCACTGGGGCTTGGATGACCCAGCAGACGTGATGACCTTCAGCAAGAAGATGATGACCGGGGGCTTCTTCCACAAGGAGGAGTTCAGGCCCAATGCTGTGAGTCGCAGCCAGCCTTCCTCTGTATCCAGGGCAAAGAGGGGAGGGTCCCCATCTCCTGTCTGTTCCTTTCTAACCATCAAGGGACTGGGTGGGCACCTCCTGGGTCGCGGGTTTTCTAAGACCCAGTTCCTATCAATGCAGTTAGCTGTGGTGTGCCCTCCCAGCTCTCTCCGCAAGGCCGACTCTGGAACGGTCCACTGTCAGCCTTCTCGTGATTTCTCTCTGCATGCACACACAAGAATATCATTAACAGCTGCTGCTGCAGACTGAGCATTTGCTGTGTGCCTAGTTCTAAGTATTTCTCCTACTTTTAATCCTCCAAACAATCTAACCAAGTAGGTGTTATTTTTATCCTGATTTTACTAATGAGGATAAAATTTTACTAATGAGGCACTGAGAGGTTAAGTAACTTGTCCAAGGTCACACAGCCTGTTAAGTGACAAAAGCCAGGATTCCAACCCAGAGCCCATGCTCTAATCCACTACCCTGTGTAATGCCATGTGTATACACCGATTCACACACACACACACACACACACACACACACTCACAGACATACAGCCATCAGGGGCCAACGTCCTTTCACCATTCCTACATGTAGTTTATACCCTCACGGTGCCTCATGGTCCAAAGTGGCTTCTGGTGCTCCAGCCATCACATCTCAATTCTAGGCAGTGGGAAAGAAAAAGAAGGGAAGGACAGAGTGGACCCTTCTTGTCTTCCGCATCCTTCCTAGAAGTCTCACATAACACATCTATTTCCAGTACTCGACCAAGACCCAGTCACATGGCCACTTCTGGCCATAAGGGAGGCTGGGAAGGGTGTTTTCGTTGGCTGCATGGCTACCCTGAATTGTTCATGGAGGGGTAAAGTGGGTGACCTTTGAGGGTCACTGCCGGCAATCCAGTCCCAACTCTACCTATAAGCCACGTTGGCCTTAGACAAATTGCTTAGCCTCCCAGAACCTCAGCTTCCTCCTCTACAAAATGAGGGTTATTATAGGAGTTAAGGAACCAGCTGCCTTGGTTTCCTGGGACTGAGGGGTGTCCCAGGGCATGGGACGATTTGGTCTCCCCATAGCAGTTCCTTCCTGCAGGGCTGCTGTTCGAAGAATTCAGTGCGATTGGATGCGTTCTCCTAGCCTCTGGTAGCTGCTTACTAGGTTAGTTTCTCTCCTCTTCAAGAGAGGAGGAGGTGTGTCTGGGGGACGTGACCCCTACAGGGTGTGCGCATGTGTGAGCCCTTCCGACACCGACACCGCTTCCTCATTCCAGCCTTACCGGATCTTCAACACCTGGCTGGGGGACCCGTCCAAGAACCTGCTGCTGGCCGAGGTCATCAACGTCATCAAGCGGGAAGACCTGCTAAATAACGCAGCCCATGCTGGGAAGGCCCTGCTCACAGGGCTGCTGGACCTCCAGGTACCACTGCCTTGCCCTGCCCTGCCCCAGCCGCACCCCCTACGGCTCCCCACAGCCTCCAGGACAGCACTGGAGCTCGTCAGCACGGTGTTGCACCTGCTGGTCCAGCAATTTGGAACGAGCCGTGCTGTTTCTAGCCTCCGGGGCTTTGCACATGCTGTGTCCTCTGCAGGGAATGCCTCCCCATCCCTCCATCCCATTCCAACCCCTGTTCCTGAACTCTTGGTTTTGATTTTTTTAATATTGAGACACGGTCTAGCTATGTTAGCCAGGCTGGTCTTAAACTCCGGGCCTCAAGCGATCCTCCCACCTCAGCCTCCCAAAGTACTGGGCAGCACCTGCTGGCCGTGGGTAGCTTATCTAGCTAGCTAGCTAGCTCTCTGTCTATCTGAGACCTATCTATCTATTTGTTTATTTATTTGAGACCAAGTCTTGCTTTGTCATCTAGGCTGGAGTGCAGTGGTGAAATCTCAGCTCATTGCAACCGCTGCCTCCTGGGTTCAAGGGATTCTCCAGCCTCAGCCTCCTGAGTAGCTGGGACTACAGGCATGTGCCGTCACACCCTGCTCATTTTGTATGTTGAGTAGAGACAGGGTTTTACCATGTTGGCCAGGCTGGTCTCGAACTCCTGAACTCAGGTGATCCACTTGTCTCAGCCTCCCAAAGTGCTGGGATTACAAGCATGGGCCACCGCGCCTGGCCCAGGTCATCTTTTGACACCAAATTCAGACATGCCTCCTTTAAGAGGCCCGCAAGCACTTCCTCTCTCACCCTCTCTGGTGTGTTCATTATTCCCTCCTCTGTGCCACCCGTTACATACTTACCACTCCGCAGCACTGCTGTCCACTGCTAGGACTGGATTACTTTCTGTCCTCAAGGTTTCATCATGGGCCAAAATGGCTCCTGAAGCTCCAGCCATTGCACCTCAATTCCAGGCAATAGGAAGGAAAAAGAAGGGAGGGACAGAGTGGCCCCCTTCTTGTCGTTAAGCAGCCTTCCCAGAAATCTCACATAACACTGGACTAACAGCTGGTCACATGGTCACTCCTAACCATAAGGAGGAGGTGTGTGAATGTGTGTGTGTGTGTGTGTGTGTGTAGCTCACAGATCTGAAGGGGTGTTTAAATGGAAGAGACTTTATTCTGAACCTCCCCAGGGCCACACTGTGGTGGAAGAGGGAGGGGTGTGTTCAAACTGCCAGCTCTCCAGTAATCGACAAGTGCAAGGAATGTGCTAGACTGAGTGCTAGAAGGACTTCTGAGCCTCAGTTTCCTCAACTGTGTAGACTAAAGTGGGCCCTTCTTCACTGACAGGGGATTGAGGAGTGTGCCCACTGCCTGGCACAAGGGCTTATGCCTATAATCCCAGGAGTTAGGGAGGCAGAAGCAGGAGGATTGCTTCAGCCTGACTGAGTTTGAGACCAGCCTGGGCAGCATAGTGAGATCCCATCCTCCACAAAAAGAAAGAAATTGTGCATGTAAGTGTCTAGCACAGTTCCTGGTTCTGTCACCACCAGAAGAGGATCGTGTCTCTAGTTTCTACCAAGAAGCTGCTGTGAAATAAGACTTGCTCTCCCAACTCAGCCCCCAGTACCCTAAAATTATCTGAGGTTTTCCAAGTGCTTCACATGGACAGCAGAGAGTAAGGTGAAATCAAGGTCCTCCAGACCAGACGCCTGCATTTGTCTCCTTGGCTGCTATAAAAAAATCACTACAAACTGCATGGCTTAAAACAAGAATTTATTCTCTCACAGTTTGAAGGCCAAGGTCTATAATCAAGGTTTCAGCAGGGTTAGCTCCTTCTGGAGGCTCTGCGGGAGAGTGTGTTCCACGCCTCTCTCCGCCTTCTGCTGGCTGCCGGGAATCCCTCACGTTCCTTGACCTATGGATGCTTCCCTCTGCTTCCAGCATCACTTGTCATTCTCTCCACTATGTCTGTGTCTCTCTGTCCAAATTGTCTTCTTCTTATAAAGATACCAGTCATTGAGCCGGGCACAGTGGCTCACACCTGTAATCCCAGCGCTTGGGGAGGCTGAGGCAGGTGGATCACTTGAGGTCACGAGTTCAAGACCAGCCTAGCCAACATCATCAAACCCCGTCTCTACTAAAAATACAAAAAAATTAGCCAGGCATGCTGGCGGGTGCCTGTAATCCCAGTTACTCAGGAGGATGAGGCACAAGAATGTCTTTGAGCCCGGGAGGTGGAGGTTGCAGTGAGCCGAGATTGTGCCACTGCACTCACTTCCGCCTGGGTGACAGAGCGAGACTCCATCTCAAAAAAATAAAAATTGAAAAAATACCAGTCATTGGATTAGGGGCCACTCTAATGCAGGAAGATCTCATTTTAACCTAATTATTTCTGTAAAGACTCTATTTCCAGATTAGGTCCTATTCATAGGTTCCAGGTAAACATGAATTTAGGAGGCAGTATTGTGGATTTTTTGTGTACTTACATGCACAGGTTTTTTTGTTTCTCTTTGTGGAGGAAAAAAATCCACAAATACAATCAATCCAGTATAGCTCCCAGTCTCAAAGCCCTGAGGGAGGACAGGCATTTCTTCTAGAAGAACCACCACCTTTCTAGAAGCGCTGACAATGGAGATGGCTAACATCTTTGGAGCACCCACCAAGGGCCCAGCCCTGGGCTTAGGCCTCAACGTGTGAAGCTTATCTTGCTAAAGTCTCACCACCGCCCACTGGGGTCAGCAACATTTATATCCTTCAGTTTATAGCAGGGTAAATAGCGGCACTTAAGTGAGTCACCCAAGGTTATGTAGTGAGAAAGAGACAGCTGGACTTTGCTGGTGGTGCTAGTGGTGTTCTTTTTCCCTCCAGACAAGACAGATGTGCACAGCTGGGCTTTGAACCCCGGCCCAGATGTCACCAGAGCTCTTAACCCCCTGGAGGCCCTGCCAGTCCATGCAGAGGCCACGGCTGGACCATGGGAGGCCTTTGATGAAGCCCAGCTGGTACACAGTGATGGGCTTTGATGCTGGCTTTGTCTCCCCTGCTGCAGGCCCGGTACCCCCAATTCATCAGCAGGGTGAGAGGACGAGGCACCTTTTGCTCCTTCGATACTCCTGATGAATCCATACGGAATAAGCTCATTTTAATTGCCAGAAACAAAGGTAAGGGGCCAGGAGCTGATGCTGAGTTTCATCTGCGTCCAGTATTTCCTGCTGTAGCTGCAAAAACGTTGCTAGGTACTCAGCAATATTTTGGGTAGGGGTAGGTGGGGCACAGGTCTAAAAATAGCCTGAATGCTCTTTTGCCAAAGAAGAGAACATGACGCATGGGATTTCTTTACCCATTTATTTACTTAACAAATGTTCACTAAGAAGGCAAGTTGTAAGCGGACACTGGAGACAGTTACAGTGATGATGAAGACCGTTAGAGCCCCTTCCTTCAGGAAGCTTGCAGTCTAGCAGGAAGGCGTGACATTACGCATGGCATTTCACAAACAATCCATTGCAATTTTAAGTCCTGGGAAGGAGGAAATGGGGCTAAGAGAGCAAATAGCTGCAGCAACTGGTGAGGCTAGGAAATCAGGGAAGGCTTCCTTGAGGAAGTAGTATTTTACCCTTAGTCTCCATGAACAGGAATTGGCTGAGTGAAGAAGGTAAAGAGGAGCATTCTGGGCAGAGGGAAGGATGCATGCGATGGCCTGAGGAAGGATGCAGCTTACGGAGGTGGTAAAAGAGAAAGAAGGGAGCATAATGGTGAACGGATGGGAGGGGACAAAGCTGGGGGAGGAACGGCCAGGCCCAGGTCACATGGGCCTGCAGATCAAGTTTAGTACTCCGGACTTCAGGCTGGGCACGGTGGCTCACACCTGTAATCCCAGCATTTTGGGCGGTCAGGGTGGATACATCACGAGGTCAGGAGCTCAAGACCAGTCTGGCCAACATAGTGAAACCCACCTCTACTAAAATTACAAAAAAATTAGCCAGGTGTGGTTGTGAGCACCTGTAATCCCAGCTACTGGGGAGGCTAAGGCAGAAGAATCGTGTGAACCCAGGAGGCGGAGGTTGCAGTGAGCCGAGATCACACCATTGCACTCCAGCCTGGTGACAGAGCAAGACTCCGTCTCAAAAAAAAGTACTCCAGACTTCCTCCTAGGAGCTGTGGGAAGCCACTGAGGATGTGTGTGGCAGGGGTAAGGAGAGATGCTGTGGTGAGATCAGAGCGCCTGCTCTATGTCAAGCATAGTGCCAGGTCTTCCTCTTGTGCCATCTCATAGAATCCTTGCAGCAGCCTCAGAAGGCCAGAGATAATCAGCCTCCATTTTTAAAATGAGAAACATGGTCTCAAAGGCATAAACAGGCCAAGTGCAGTGGCTCACACTGTAATCCCAACAGGTGGGCGGATCACCTGCCTAGGTGGGCAGATCACCTGAAGTCAGGAGTTCGAGACCAGCCTGGCCAACATGGCAAAACCCTGTTTCTACTAAAAATATAAAAATTAGCTAGGCATGGTGGTGGGTGCCTGTAATCCCAGCTACTGAGGAGGCTGAGGCAGGAGAATGGCTTGAACCCGGGAGGCAGAGGTTGCAGTGAGCCAAGATTGCACCACTGCACTCCAGCCTGGGAGACAGAGTGAGACTCCATCTTAAAAAAAAAAAAAAAAAAAAAAAGGCATAAACAACCTTGACAAGGAAAGGACACCAGCTGTCGCTGGTGAAGTCACCCTTTAAAATAAGCAGGGCCTGTCCTTCCTCAGTGATAGCTCAGCAGCTCGCACGTGCTTCCGGCTCAGCCTGTGGTTTTGTAACTTATCTGCTTACCTATTTTCTTTCTCTACCTCTCCATGACTTTCTGGAAGGCAAGGACTTTTTATCTCAGGATTTCTCTATCGCCAGACCTAGCTGAGGGGCAGCAAAGCAGGCACTCCAAGGAGAGAGGGAGAGAGGAACGGGAAAAGGGAGGGCGGAGGGCAGGAGAGGAAGAAGAGAATGCTGGATGAGATATATGAAAGGAGAGAGAAAGGAAATGAAGGCCGGATTGGGGGGGTGGTAGGAAGGACAGATGGAAGCCTGGGCTTCCGTGATGGATGATGATAGATGGATGGATGGGCATCACCAATGGGTATCCCTTTCCTTCCAGCTCTCCCAGCACGAGACTTTGAGAAACCACGCTCCTAACCTGCCTCCTGCCTCTTCTTGTAGGTGTGATGTTGGGGGGCTGCGGCGACAAATCCATTCGTTTCCGTCCCACGTTGGTCTTCAGGGATCACCACGCTCACCTATTCCTCAATATTTTCAGTGACATCTTGGCAGACTTCAAGTAAAGAAGCCATTTCCACTACAGTGAGAAAGCCCCGATCCCAACAGTTGTCAAATTGATTAGTTTGCCTAATTCATGTTTTCACTTAAAAGTATCAGAGGTGAATGGACCGCAAAGGGTGATTTGTGGGGAGGGAACATTTTTGGTGATCTAGGGGGAGGGGAGGGAAGGGAAGGGCTGGTATTGATTTTCCTCCCTGCAGAGCCAAGGGTGCATGTTGGTTTAAGCCCAGAAATCCTGCTTGAGCCCTGGACTCGTCTTGGGAAGGGCCGTGGGAGGTCCTGGATATAGTTCTGCCCAACCTTGACCAACCCCAGCAATTTTTCTGAAAGCCAGTCAAGGGTGTTGCATTTGCTCCCTGGACTGGCGGCTGGGCCTCCTGGGTGCCAGTCCATTTCAAGTGCCATATTCTGTGATGACGGATGCTAGCAAACATGCCCCCACCTCCTCTCCCAGCCCCCAGAGCTCTGAGCACACCCCACACATGGTGCAGGGAGGGACTGGGTGGATCTGAGGAAGGCTGTAAAGCAGGGACAGGACTCAGCTCAGAGATAGGGGAGGGGTTCTCGCGCCCCCTAAGGACGAGAATCACTCCTCAGTGCACCTGGGGATTCCCCTAAACTGTGAATTTTGCCCTGGACAGGGCTTTGCCCCTGGAGGATCCCCAGGTGGCATCACCCATGGTTCTTACTTGGCATCTTCCATCGCCCAAACGCTCTCCTCCCTGTTAAATGTCAACCTAGACCTGGACCTGGTGGGAGGAAACTTTAGCCTGAGTGTCCACAGGGACACACATGAGCCCCAGCGTTAGAAGCACAAGCCCGTCACCCCGGGAGGGGAAGCCCAGGGTCTGTGGCAGCAGAACCACTTCATCGTGTTGCCCAGGGCACTTTGGGGTCCGACTTTTGGCCCCCCGCCCTGAGAGGTGCTTCCTCTCTCTTTTGCTCATCCACCTTCACTCCACTTCTGAGTAAATCCCCAGGAACAGCTAGGCTGTTCCACTAGGGTGAATCATTGCTGGACTGGATTTCTTCTTGAGGGAAGCACCATGAATCAGAGGTGCCAGAGCTCCACGTATGGAAAAGTGGCGGGTTGGTTCAACGTGGTTTCCTTGTACTTGATCCTCCTGAAATTAGAGCTTTTCCTGAGATGACTGAGTATGGAGATTACCAGGCGGATTATCCCGAAATGCTTAACAGGGCTATCGCTGAGGGTGTAGTATCTCTGCTGGAGGTGAGACACTCGGAGAACTGATTTGACCTCAAACGCTCCTAAAAGAGGAGTTGATAGCTTGACAGCAATGAAGTATTATTTGGTGGGGAGACTGAGGAAGCCTGGGTTGTTTTATCTGTCCAAAATGAAGCCTCTTCATTTCCTGTTGCCTTGGTTGACTATTTTAGAAGCCAGGCATATCAAGATTCCTGATTCAGCACTTTGCTCTTTTAATAACAAATCGTCCAAAGATCTCAAAGTAGGGGGGTTTTTTTTAGCTTCCGCTCTTACACAGACTTGGTCATCGACCTATTTTTGTTGAGGAACGAAAGGCAATGACAAGTTTAATATATATAAATTCGTGAGTTCTAGTTCATTCCGCATTCCCACAGTCAGGGCTAATCCGTCGCTCTTCATCAGGAGTTCGGCCATGTTTAAGGTCACCTGTGCTCCCACTCTCTACAGAGTTTTACTCATTTTTATATTCATTTATTTATCATTCATTCGTTCATTCATCTAACTTTCATTAAATACCTGCAGCATCTCAGGCCCTGTGCTGAGCATCAGGAATACAAAGATAAGATAAGACATTGTCCCTGCCCCCAGGGGCTCACATCCCACTGGAAACAGGTGGCATGTGCTATGACAGAGGTGTAAGAGCCTCAGGAAATCGGAGCGGGTACCACAATTCACCTAAGGGTCAGAGGAGGTTTCAAGGAAAAAGTGGCATTGGAGCAGTGTTTTGCAGAATGAGCAAGAGTTCACCAAGCAGACAAGGCAAGAAAGGGTGTTGAAGAGAGGGAAAAGCATATGCAAAGGCATATCAGTTCATGACATCACATCTTTCACTGGGGAGCCAGATTCCCCAGGCAGCATCCCAAGGTTCAATAAGGCCTTATTTAACAAGCAAGCAAAATGCAAACCAAACCATTATTCCTCTGTTGGCTTCAGTTGGCTTTCTCCTGAAAACTTTAGCATGGGGTGCAAATATTTCAGTATGGCTCTTGGAGTCCAGAGGGTTTTAAGCCAGGGCACAACCAAAAAATTGGCTCTCTTCGGTAGAGAGAGGGGCTCCAGTATTTCATTCTCTCCCCATGGGGCATTGACAGAGAAAGGGAATCGTTTTATCTGGAAAGTCATTTCCAGATTTAGTATTCACTCCTTACCAAGGGAAGTTACTTCTTGTAAAAAATTTTAAGCCATTTATCAACAAGTTCTTGTTGATTCAGGGCATAATGAGTTCCTGAGACATCCTCCTTTGGGGTGGCGGGTTTATTTCCAGGAAAAGAATTTCAAGGAAAAGAATTCTCAGCAAAGCTCAAGATTATAGAAACTCAGCAGAGGCTGGTAAAAAACATGGGGAGCCTGGAGGGCAGGCTCCCTCTCTGCCATCTAGGGCAGAGGCCAGGAAGAAGTACTTCTGTGGCCAGTGGTCTGGAAGTGAATCCATCATACATTAGTGCCATAGAGTTTAGTAACTGTCCAGCAAGTGTCGTCACTTTTACAGAAAACAAGGTCCACTAATAGCAAGTCTTAGCACATCCTCACTTCTATTATAAATGGGTGTTTTTTAAATAATTTTTACTGATGCTCAGTAACCATGCAAAATTGTGCATAGCATTAATGTATCTATATTCCTATACCTGTCTATATCTATATATCAGCTCATGGTAGAAAACCATAGCTAAGGAGCATTGCAGACTTATGCATACAAAGTGATCCTGTTTACAAGTAATCTGGTGACAGTGCCAATAAATGAGAAAAAAAGAAATTAACATGTCATGATGTAACTGATGACCATATTCACAATTCCATAAATTAAATGTTTCCTGTGTTAATCAGTATTCTTAAATAAAATTTATAATCGAAACATCAGAGTGAATGTGGACTTTTTTAGTGGAAATGGTTTCATTAAATATTTATGTGACAAGTACTTATCAAACGCCTGTTATATACCTACCTCTTAGGGATGTCTTGGGGAACACTCTACGTGCATAACTCTGCCTTGGGATTGGGAAGTACTCTGAGGCCATTCATGTCATTAAGTAAATTAAGGACATGCTATGTGACAAGGACATGGGGTGGACAAGGTGTGGTCCCTACTTGCAGCTTGCAGCCTCTTCTTCTTTTTTTTTTTTTTTTTTTTTTTTTTTTTTGAGGCCGGGGACAGAGTTTCACTCTTGTTGCCCAGGTTGGAGTATAATGGCACAACCGAAGCTCACTGCAACCTCCACCTCCCAGGTTCAAGCAATTCTCTTGCCTCAGCCTCCTGAGCTCAGGGGATGCACCTGCCTCAGCCTCCCAAAGTGATCGGATTACAGGCACCTGGCCACCACGCTGGCTAACTTTTTGTATTGTTAGTAGAGACGGGGTTTCGCCATGTTGGCCAGGCTGGTCTGGAGCTCCTGAGCTCAGATGATTCACCCGCCTCGGCCTCCCAAAGTGCTGGGATTACAGGCGTGAGCCACAGGGCCCAGCCTGTTTTCTATATTCTGTCCTTCCTCTGGGGAGGCAGTGGAAGGACCATCTCTGCTGCTTTCTAGATGGGTGATGGGGGTAAGTCTCTCCAGTTCTCTGAGCCTTATTCTGCAAAATAAGGATGAATATAGGATTGCTATCTAACATTTATTGAGTGCTTGCCTGGACTGAGCACTATTTCAAGTGCTTTTCATGTAGTAAGTCATTTAATCCTCCCAGCAATCCTGGGTAGGTGGTGTTATTATCTTCACTTCACAGATGAAGAAACTGAGGCAGAGAAAGAGGGTACACAGCTGGGAACTGGCAGGGCTGAATTCAAGCAAGCAAGAAGTTTTGCTTCAGAAGCTGCGTGCTTCACCCAAACACTCCACCACCTCTCTGGGGTTCTCCAACTCAAACTGCTGCTGGCAGATTAAACGAAATTATGTAAGAATTTCCTGGCACACAGTAGGTGTTTAATACATGCTAGTGTCTCTTACTGCTTCTTCTCCATGAATAACTGAATGTGTCTCATAAATAGTTCTGAATGGCAATATTATATTTGTGTAGAGTTAACTTCCCACTGGTAAATATTAAATCTACTTCCCAGCACAGGTACAAGCCCAACTTAATCTAGGTGTATATTTCAACTGTTAATCAGTAAAAGGAATGTTTTTGTCCCTAGAGTTGGTATAAACATGGCTAGATGGTATCGGCCTTGCCTGATGGACTCCAACCAGCCAACCTTTTACAGCTGAATGGTGCAGGATCAAAACAAGGCCATTAAGAGTTGGACTCTGCCTGGAGTTCAGAGGGACCCTGTTGCTTTCCATTTAAGTCTTTAAGTCATAAAGCAGTAATATGAAGCAAGCTCCCAACTCAAGTTATTTGGGCAATTCATCCAGGCTGTCCTCTGTAAGCTGCTCAGCCCAGCAGATCTGTTTTGGGGAGTGTATTGAACATGGTTATGTAATGATGAGGTGGGGGATGCCGTAGACATCTGGCCTTACGACAAGGTAAGTCTCATTTTTAGTAACCGGCATAGGAAGGAGGACAATAGCTACCACTGGGTTGTGTGCTTCCACGTGCACAATGGGATCATCATCCCCAGGTCCCAGATTGTGCAGACCTCATGTGTAGATGGTTGCCGTATGAAAACTGACATGTGGCCAGGTGCAGTGGCTCACACCTGTAATCCCAGCATTTTGGGAGGCCGGGGTGAAGGGGAGAGGATCACTTGAGGCCAGGAGTTCAAGACCAGCCTGGCCAACATGGTGAAACCCTGTCCCTACTAAAAAATACAAAAATTAGCTGAGTGTGGTGGCGGGCATCTGTAATCCCAGCTATTCAGGAGGCTAAGGCAGGGAATCACTTGAACCCAGGAGGCAGAGGTTGCGGTGAGCCCAGATTGCACCACTGCACTCCAGCTTGGACGACAGAACAAGGCTCTGTCTAAAAAAAAAAAAAAACAAAAAAAAAAACAGCCTGGGTACAGTGGCTCACGCCTGTAATCGCAGTACTTTGGGAGGCTAAGGAGGGCAGATTAAGAGGTCAGGAGTTTGAGACCAGCATGGCCAACGTGATGAAACCGTGTCTCTACTAAAACTACAAAAATTAGACGGATGTGGTGGCAGGCACCTGTAATCCCAGCTACTAAGGAAGCTGAGGCAAGAGAATGGCTTGAACCTGGGAGGCGGAGGTTGCAGTGAGCTGAGATTGCACCATTGCACTGCAGCCTGGATGACAGAGCAAGACTCCATTATGGAAAAAAGAAAGAAAACTGACATGCTACAGACCACCCAAGCATCTAAATTATTTACATAATTAGTCTCTTTGAACTCCAGGCATGGCAGGGAGAGGGGGGCAAAATCCAGACAGGAAGAAAAGCCACTCAACAAGAGACAAACATGGTTAAATCACCAGTTGCTTTAACCGAGTTTTCAACAACTTCATGCTTCCTTCTATCTACTCAGCTTCTGAGTCCAGAATTGGAAGTCATGGTTGAGAAGCTTTTCTTTGCCTAAAAAGCTGGTGGGAGGGGGAGGGAACAAAAGAAGAGACTATTTATTATTGCATTTTTATTTGTTAGAATGAATGACGTGCTTATTATGAACTTTTCAAACAACATTAGGTTGCCATTTTGAAAGTGGAGTACTTACTGTCCCATCTGCCCCTCTCAGCCCAGTGCTCTCCCAGCACTGCTCGCGATTTACAATGCATGTTTTATTTATTTACGAGATGGAGTCTCACTCTGTTGCCCAGGCTGGAGTGCAACGTCGTGATCTCTGCTTACTGCAACCTCTGCCTCCTGGGTTCAAACAATTATCCTGCCTTAGCCTCCCAAGTACGTGGGATTACAGGTGCCTACCACCATGCCCAGCTCCTTTTTGTATTTTTAGTAGAGATGGGGTTTCACTATGTTGACCAGGCTGGTCTCGACTCCTGACCTCAAGTGATCCACCTACCTCAGCCTTCCAAAGTGCTGGGATTACAGGAGTGAGCCAATGCACCTGGCCAACATGTATTTTTTTAAAAACACAAATAAGATCACACAGAACTACACTATTCTGTGACTTGCTTTTTTTTTTTTTTCCTACCTACCTCATGGTCTTTTCCATAGATGTAGTTCAATCTCATTCTTTTTAAAGGTTCCATGTATACCGCAATATGGATCTACCAACATTTACTTAACCATGTGGCCCAGTAATAGAAACTTAGATTATTCCCAGTTTTTACTTTTCTTCTTTTATTTTTTTAAGATAGGTTCTCACTCTATCACCCAGGCTAGAGAGCAGTGGCACAATAATGGCTCTGCAGCCTTGAACTTCTGGGCTGAAACAATCCTCCTGCCTCAGCCTCTCAAGTAGCTAGGACTACAGGCTTGCGCCACTGTACCCAGCTAACTTTTTAATTTTTCCTTTTTAGATATGCGGTCTTACTATGTTGACCAGGCTGGTTACGAACTGCTGGCCTCAAGCAATCCTTCCACCTCGGCTTCCCAAAATGCTGGGATTTACAGGTATGAGCTATCATGCCCGGCCTAGTTTTTGTGATGCTAGCAATATTTCAGTGAACATCCTTATATGTACACTTTAGTATTTCTGTTAGATTATTGCTATATTCTGAATGTGTCACCCCAAAAGTCCTATGTTGAAACCTAATTTCCAATGTGATGATATCTGAAGGTGGGAACTTTGGGAAATGATTAGGTCGCAAGGGTGGATCCCTCATGAATGGGGTTAGTGCCCTATAAAAGGGATTTCAGAGAGCACCCTCACCTCCTTTGCCATGTGAGACCACAGCAAGAATAAGCCTGTCTATGAACCAGAAAACAGGCCCTTCTAGACTATGAACTCACTGGCGCATTGATCTTGGACTTCCCAGCCTCCAGAACTATGAAAAATAAATGGGGCTTGAGCCATCCAGCCTGTGGCTACGGCAGCCTGAATGAACTAAGACAATTATGTTTAGAATTGTTGTTAAAGGCGGAACTGCCAATATATTCACCACCCAAATCTAAATGCAAGTCCCATTTTCTAAGAAGCGGCTTTGCCATCTATTCCATGGCTTTGGGTGATTCTCAAAACTTGGGGTGCCTTAGAATTACCTGGGAAGCCTAAACAGACACCCAGTTTCTACCAGATTCAACAAGGATTGGGCACTTGTCTTTTTGTTTTTTCAGACAGGATCCCGATCTGTCACCCGCGGTGCAATTTCAGCTCACTGCAATCTCTGCCCCTCGGGCTCAAGTGATCCTCTCACCTCAGCCTCCAGAGTAGGTGGGACTACAGGCATGTGCCCTACACTTAGCTAATTTTTTGCACTTTTAGTAGAGATGGGGTTTCACCATGTTGCCCAGGCCGATCTCAAACTTCTAGTCTCAAGCGATCTGCCCGCCTTGGCCTGTGTTAGGATTACAGGCGTGAGCCATTGTGCCTGGATTTTTACTGCTTATGTTGTTGACTTTAGATGTTTGGGGGCAGCTCTCAGGTACTACCCTAACTGGTATGTGACAGAAGCCCTAACACATTTCTTGTCCTCTGGTGGAGATGTATGATTTTAGCTCAGGGATAAGCGGTTGGAACAATGCATTTGCTCTGTGTGCCCTCTGCTGGTACTGCGTGAGCAGACCACACATTGAATGCCTGCACAGGTGAGAATCTGGCATCTCACCTCCCAAGGCAAGCCCTTGTCGACTTAACAGCATGGTGAGACTTCAGGGGCAGCCACGGTCAATCCTGGCTGCATATTCGAATCACCCAGGGAACCGTGAAAATGGAGACGCCTAGTCATGAGCTTTGACAATGGGGTTTTAAAAACACTCTCCAGGAGATTCTACAAATAAACCAGTGTTAAGAACCTATTTTTTAGGCAGAAAATTGGCCCAGGAACACAAAGTCCACAGAAGCACGTATCACTCTGGTGTCTTCTGTTCTAGTTGTTTATTTCAGAAATTCCCAGCCTGCCTAAATCTCAGAATTGGCTTCAAGTGGGTCAAAAAGACAAATCCTGGGGACCTACCGCAGACATAATCAGAATATCCCAGGGTGGGACTCACTCAGGTCATTTCTCACAACTAGCCCAACAAAAAGAGAATATCTGTTTTCAATAAGGTTAAGGTGAAGTCACTGAATTCTTAAGACATTTTTTAGCCACAGGCTGTATGTCTTCCTGGGGAAAGGATTCAGTCACTGAAGGAACTGACAGGCAGGTGAAGGTGAAGTCGAGAAGGAATGAAGAGCCATGTGTAACTGCTGTGTACGCGTCTCTTCCATATAATTCACTGTACTTGACCATAAATAGTACAACCTGTTATACAGGGAAGACACTCAAGGGAAGGCAGTTAGTTCTCTCTGCAGGTATCCAGGGAGAAAGCTTTCCAGGCAAACGAACTGTCAATGCAAAGACTTCGAGGCTGGATCATCCTTGATTACTAGAGAACAGCAAGGGCAGCGTGACCCGGGAAAATGATCTCCACAGAGTTGGGGATGAGGGAGGAAAGGGGAGGTTGGATTAGGCCATCAACCTTCACAGCAGAATGAGGTGACTGTATTTTTAAGAATCACTTTGACTGCTGTAAAAACAGACTAGAGTAAGGCAAGGATGCAAGCCCAGGATAGAAGCATCGAAGTGAAAGGCCGGGTGCAGTGGCTGATACCTGTAACCCCAGCACTTTGAGAGGTCAAGGCAGGCGGATCACCTGAGGTCGGGAAGTTTGAGACCAACCTGACCAACATGGAGAAATCCTGTCTCTACTCAAAATACAAAACTAGCCAGGCGTGGTGGCGCATGCCTGTAATCCCAGCTACTTGGGAGGCTGAGGCAGGAGAATTGCTTGAACCCTGGAGGCAGAGGTTGCGGTAAGCCAAGATTGTGCCATTGCACTCCAGCCTGGGCAACAACAACAAAACTCCTTTTCAAAATAACAAAAAAGATCTATTTGTTAGGTATATCTTGCTATGGTTAAGAAAAATGAAAGGCTACACCATAAAATATTGTTACTGACTTTTGAGTGGCAAAATCCTAAGGGTCACGCATTCCTTCCACTTTACTGTTACAAATTGTGTAACGAACACGTTATTAATTATGCAGAGCAGTGTATATAATTGGCTTTAGTTTATAAAATAGTGTACCAGCAGACGGTCCATCTGGCTTTATTACACTGCAGGGCCATCCAAAGCAAGAGTCTCTAGAACTCTGGTTGGGGTCTCGTGCTCACCTGGATGACATCTCTGCTTGCTGATGTGTAGTTAACAGTCCCTTCTGGCAGTCCTTTCTGCCGCTGGACATGGGAGGGGGCACAGCACAGAGTTCTGGAAGTCCCTACTGACTGCTCAAAGCCTTTCTCCATGCTGAAACTTCTATACAAAGCTCAGTATCTGCTCTGGGCTGTTGAGTCTGCAACAATTTTGATAGTTATTGTTTATTCCCACACCCATCCCATGAAACAAGCAGGACTTTCCATTTTATAGATGGAGACTCAAAGAGGCTCAATAACCTGCCCCAGGACAAGTAACAGAACTGAGACTTCTGGCTCCAAATCCTACACTCCCCCACCACACCTCTCTGCCTTCCCATTTCACAGCAATGGACTGTCTGGGTGAGCTTGGCATATGTTCCTTTAATAACTGGCTCCTAACAGAAACTTGTGGCCATTATCTGACTGAATGTCACACACAAGTGCTATGAAAACTTGCACTTAGCTGGGTGCAGTGGCTTACACCTGTAATCCCAGCACTTTGGGAGGCCAAGGCAGGCGGATCACGAGGTCAGGAGTTTGAGACCAGCCTGGCCAACATGATGAAACCCCATCTCTACTAAAAATAGCCAGGTGTGGTGGCGAACACCTGTAGTCCCAGCTACTCGGGAGGCTGAGGTGGGAGAAGCGCTTGAACCTGGAAGGCGGAGACTGCAGCAAGCCAAGATCACACCACTGCACTCCAGCCTGGGGGAAAGAGCAAACTCCATCTCAAAAAATGAAAAGAAAAAAAAAAAAAAAAAAAGAACTTGCATTTAGAGCCTTTTTCCTAAACCTGGACACCAAATCTCACCTTGTAAATTTCTACATCATAAAACACATGTTCCCAGGGGTCCAAGCAAAGTCTCCAAGTACTCAATCCCCTTTCTTCAACCTTGCGCACACCCTCGGCCTTCCTGTCAGTCTAGGCAACCCAGGGTTACCCAGAGGTCCAGCTCACTTGAATGTCTGCAGCGCCCCAAACACCTGTGTGAAACACTCTTTGTCCAGGATGCGTCCGTAGCGCAGGGTGAGGTAGAAGGTCTGTTTCCCACTGTACTGCTGGATACGAATGAACAGCTCCTCAGGCCTGTCCTTGGTTTCCGTCAGGGGTATCACATCTTCCATGGGACAGTATGTGTCCTGCCGCCAGCCCCAGAAGTTCAGGTGGGCCACCCGCAGTATGGTGCCAGACTCGTTCAGATACAGGATGCCAACCAGTCTCCGAAGGAAATAGCTCATCCAGCAGAGCATGGCCAGAGCAAAGCATGATATCCCATTCATGATGCAAAGGGACTTGAGAGTCAGGAGGCCCTGGGAGTACCAGTAATAGCCTGGTGGCAAAGCTATCACTGTCAGGGCAGTCTGTGCCAACTTCAGTCGAGACAGGTACCCGAAGGCTCTGATGGCATCAAAACGGTAAAACATTTGGAATTTCTCCGTCTCTGCGTCTGGTGGTTTCTCCTTTGAGATGGGTGACGTGCTCCCTAGCCACCTCTTAGGATCCTCCTGCCCACTGCAGCACCACCACAGCCCATGGAGAGGCCGTCCCCATGCAGTTTTTCCGGGAAACCTAGGCACAGCTCGGAGAAGCGCAGCCTGAAAGGGAGATAGTAGACCATTTCTCTCATGGAACTCAACCACGTTAATCACACGGTGAACATCTACAAAGCATCTCACTCCAAGGCTTTCGCCAATCCTGCAAGGTCACCATTATTGCCAGAGAAGGGAAGGGTAAAGCCAGATGGTATCTCATGTGAGCAACACAACAGTTACCTAAGATAGTATCCCTGTTTCCACTTTACCACTAGAGAAACTAAGCCCAGAGAGGGTAAGATATTTACCCAAAACACACAGTCAGTGAGTGCAGCAGAGTCCGACTCTCAAACCGGGCCTCCTTTCACCAGGCAATTCCAAATAAATACAGGAAAGGAGGTACAGCCTTCATTAATTCAAAACATATCTAGGCAGGACCAACTCTGGGCTGGACAATGGATCCACAAAGGGTTGTGAACATTTCCCGAAGCAGGAAACTAAATAACCAATGTCTTAGTGGGGAACTCGAGAAACAAATCTGTGAGATATTTATCCCAATAACTTTCCAATTCTATTTGATTTATACGTTATCTTGGGTGTTAGAGGAAACAGCTGCTTTCTTAGCCTAGTCTGGGGAAGCGGAAATAGCAGAGGAGGAGTGAGGCAGGGAGGCCCCAACACATAGCACAAGGATATTATTAGCTGAATAGGGAGGCAGTAAAAGTTCTGGTTCCGGTTCTGGCTCCAACAGTCACTACCTGTGGATTTTTGAGCAAATTACTTCCTTCACACCCCTGAGCTTCCGTTTCTTCACCTTTCAAATTGGGGACTCAGAACACAGTGACCGAGAAGATGGTTTTGGAGCCCTCAACTTAGTACCTGATGCACTGTGAGACCTTGGCCAGTTTTGGCGAGTACTACTGCTGCTCACGTGACGCAAGGAGGTCAGAGAAAGCCGGGGCATGGCGAACTGTAACCCACACTGGAGCCTCCTACTAGGAATTCTCCGAGTCCGAAAGTCGGGCGTCTTGCCTGCCTGCCCCAGCCCTGACCCTGATCCCCTAAAAACATCACCCCCACAAGGCTCGTCACCCGCCTCCTTACCATTGTCCTACCACCTGCAGCCGGAAGTAAATGCCACCGGCCCCCGGAACCTCTAAGAGGGCATGCTCGAATGTACAAGGCGGGCGTGGCCGCATTGCACTCTGGGAGTTGCAGTCCAGGAATCGTGGCTGGCGCTAGTCCCAGGCATTGTGGGAACAGAGTCTCCTCTTCCCGACGTTCCCTGCAGCTCGGGAGCCGAACCCGGAAGTTCCGGGTCGAGCTCCTGATGCCAACGAGTCTCGTAAGGTGCGGCTGGAAACTGGGGACATGGCAGCGCCCGGCCCAGCGCTCTGCCTCTTTGACGTGGATGGGACCCTCACCGCTCCGCGGCAGGTGAGTGGCGCCCGGCGGGCTGGTAGCAGCCGACCCGGAGCCCGTACTGTTCCCAGTTGAAGTTATTTACCACCCAGGGTGGGCGCCAAGGGGTAGCTGAGGACCGCAGAAGTGTTCACGGGTGCTGATCAGTATTCTGGGTGTCTTGGAGAAATGAGATTGAAGCCCTGACCAGCTCTTCAAGAGCCCTTGGTGCTTGGAGAGTTGAGACGGGGCTGAAGAACTCTTAAGAGCAAGAAACTTGTGCTGGGTTGGAAAATGCAATTTGGACTCAACGCTGGTTCTCGGGACTGGTGGACCAGGATTTGTACCCGAGATCAAGCCCCCTTATCAGCTATGTGACATTCTCAGTCCAGTAACCAATGAGTTGTGCCGTGAATAATATTTTTAGAAGGTTTCCAGGTCAAACAGACCTAGTGTAGATGTCATCACCACTTGACAGCTGTGTGACCTTGAGCAAGTCATTAACTTCTCTTAACCTCAGCATCTACAGCTTTTTTTTTTTTTTTTTTTTTTTTTTTTTTTTTTTTTTGAGACAGTTTCGTTATTGTCCCCCAGGCTGGAGTGCAATGGAGGGATCTTGGCTCACTGCACCCTCCGCCCGCCAGGTTCAAGCAATTCTCCTGCCTCAACCTCCGAAGTAGCTGGGATTACACGCATCTGCCACCAAGCACGGGTCTTGCCTCAGCCTCCCAAGTAGCTGGGATTACAGGCACCTGCCACCACACCATGCTAATTTTTATGTTTTTAGTAGAGACACGGTTTCGCCATGTTGGCCACACTGGTCTCAAATTCCTGACCTCAGGTGATCCACTCGCCTCAGCCTCCCAAAGGGCTGGGATTACAGGCATGAGCCACCATGCCTGACCTCATCTTCAGCTTTGAATGGGGATATTTCCCCCTGTGCCATATGGTGTCTGTGAGGTTCAGATGAGATTGCATAAATTCTTGAAATTATGCACATAACACACTAGGCCTCAATAAACAGCCACCTCCACCACGCCCATCTCCAGCCCCTGCAGTGGACTCGGGAGATGGAGGACCCCTAGGTTATTAAAGGCTGCCTGCTGAGACCCTCTTTAGGGCCTTGGAAATTTGCTTTCCACTTCCAGATATTGCTGCTACAGGCATAGATAAGTTTCAGTTACAATCAGCCTTGAGATGAGGCTCTTTGTCCCCTTTGAGAAATTGGTCACTGCATACCAGCCATTTGAACTTGAGACTGGACCCCCGTGGCCCCACTGTCCTCACCTTCTACCCTCATCCGTTGTAGTTTTTCGCTTGTGGTAACAGTGGTGTACCCCAGAAGTCCACGTCAAATGCCTGTGACCTTAGACCTACCAATTGCACTTCTCAGCCACAGGTTTGATCCACCTAGTGCTGACGCTCAACTCCCAAGTTTCTCAAAGGCTTTTACTGACTCTGAGATTCAGCAGTCACACACGTGTGGGTTGTTAAAATCCCATAGTGCCGGTCGGGCATGGTGGCTTACGCCTGCAGTCTCAGCACTTTGGATGGCTGAGGTGGGTAGATTGCCCAAGCTCAGGAGTTCATAACCACCCTAGGCAACAAGGTGAAACCCGGTCTCTACTAAAAAAAAAAAAAAAAAATTACAAAAAATTAGGTGTGGCTGCGTGTGCCTGTAGTCCCAGCTACTTGGGAGGATGAGGCAAGAGAATTGCTTGAACCTAGGAGGTGGAGGTTGCAGTGAACCGAGATCATGCCACTGTACTCCAGGCTGGGAAACTGAGGGAGACTCCGTCTCAAAAAAAAAAAAAAAAAAACCCATAATGGTCTAAAACTGCAGCCCTAATTCATTTTTTGTAAAGGGTCATATAGCGTATCCTTTTGTCTTTGCGGACCATATGGTCTATAGTAACCACTCAGCTTTAGTGCACAACCAGCCATAAACCCTATAAAAACCAATCTGGCCAACATGGCGAAACAGAAATTAGCCGGGCGTGGCGGCAGGTGCCTGTAATCCCCAGCTACTTGGGAGGCTGGGTCAGGAGCTGGGCGTGGCGGCAGGTGCCTGTAATCCCAGCTACTTCGAGGCTGAGGCGGGAGCAATAAAATTTTATTTATTTATTACAAAAACCAACAGCTGCCCAATTGGGTCTGTGGGCCTTCCTGGTCTAGGATTTACATTGCCAACTCTTTTTCATGGTATCACTGGACCCTCTCAGCCTTCCTCCATCTTTCTTCCCAGGTGGGATAGTTGTTATTACTATTGTAAACATAAGGAAACAGACCCAGTGAAGACCTAACCTCCTTGGTTTTACACAGCCGACCTTGTACAAGTCCCTGGGCCTCAGGACATTGGTTCTTGTCAAGTTTGCCATTTTGGGTCTGTGCTAAGGTGTGGAAGCTGTTCTAGTCAGTGGGTATGCCATTCAGGAAAGTGCTTCTGACTTTCGGATTTTTCACAGTTCTAACTTTTTTTTTGAAAGGTAGTCTAGTCTGTTGCCCAGGCTAGAGTGCAGTGGCACAATCTTGGCTCACTGCAACCTCTGCCTCCCGGGTTCCAGTGATCCTCCGGCCTCAGCCTCCCAAGTAGCTGGGACTACAGGTGAGGGCCGCCATGCCCATCTAATTTTTGTATTTTTAGTGGAGACAGGTTTCACCATGTTGGCCAGGCTGGTCTCTGTTTCCTAAGCCCAGCCGATCTGTCCACCTTGGCCTCCCAAAGTGCTGAGATTACAGACATGAGCCACTGCGTTCTGAGTCTTAAAGACTCCTCCTAGATTTTGTCCAGTAGGTCCAGATTCCACCGTGAGAGGTAGAAAAGATTGCACTCTATTACAAACCTGTCTGTACAATTTTATTTTAATCAAATTCATGTATTACTCTTAAAAAAAAATTAAACTCATTGGACTCCAAGTGTTTTTATACTGAGATTGAATTAAATGGTCTTTTGTATTTTCTGAATTTCTAGTAACTTTTTAAAAGAGATAGCCGGGTGCCATAGCTGATGCCTGTAATATTTTGGGAGGCCGAGGTCAGGAGTTTGAGACTAGCCTGGCCACATGGTGAACCCCGGTCTCCACTAAAAATACAAAAAAATTAGCCAAGTGTGGTGTTGGGCACCTGTAATGCCCCCTACTTGGGAGGCTGAGGCAGGAGAATTGCTTGAACTGGGGAGGTGGAGGTTGTAGTGAGCTGAGACCACCCACTGCATTCTAGCCTGGGTGATAGAAAAAAAAGACATTGAGTGTAAATGTACCACTAAGATTGCTCAAGTACTGAGTTATAAGACTTGAAAAAATATCCAGGGGAGGGTCAGCGAGGTGTGGGGAAGTGGAGGGATAACACGGGGAGAAATGCCAGATAGAGGTGGTGGGGGGAATGGAGGCGGCAAACCGCGTCGCCGTGTACGTACCTAAGCGACAGTGCTGCATGATCTGCACATGTACCCCAGAACCTGAAGTACGGTTTAAAAAAAAAAATTGTGAAGTGTCTTAATGTAGGGCTATTTTTTTCATCTTAGTTTACAACTTTTAAAAAATTACCACACAGTCTGGAATTTACTGTAAGATTATAGCATTAACATCACTCTTTCTAGATAGGAGCTTTGCTTTTAGAAGAAACTAAAAATTCTAGTCATCTTACTCTTTTACATTTTTTGTTTTGGGCAATAAATCACTTCTGAGTTTCCGCTTTAATCTCATTATGTTATTTGTTTTAAAATCAACACCTTGGGCCAGGCACTGTGGCTCATGTCTGTAATCCCAGCACTTTGGGAGGCCGAGGCAGACAGATCAGGAGGTCAGGAAATAGAGACCATCCTGGCCAACATGGTGAAACCCTGTCTCTATTAAAATGCAAAAGAAATTAGCCAGGCGTGGCGGCACATGCGTGTAGTCCCAGCCACCCTGGAGGCTGAGGCAGAGGAATTGCTTGAACCTGGGAGGCGGGGGTTACCGTGAGCTGAGATCATGGCACTGTACTCCAGCCTGGTAACAGAGCAAGACTCCGTCTCAAAAAAAAAAAAAAAAAAAAAAATTCATAAATGGTGTATAGTGTAGCATTTAAAAGGAAGGATGAGGTAGATCTGTTGGCAGAAAAGATCACCACAACAGAGTGCTAAGAAAGCAAGTCACTGCACAGTACACAGAATGATTCCATTTATGTTTCAAAAATAAGACCTATTTCTATACTTGCCCATAGATGGGTATTATAAATGCATAGAAAAATAACTGGGACATTGCAGAACAGCTCCTAATCTATTACCTTATTTTGTCAAAAATAACACAAGTTTATTCTGGTAAAAATGCCTCCAAATTACAACTGAAGTATTTGAACTGTGTACATTGCTGCTAACTGAATTGGCATGTATGAAAATAAGGCTTGTAGGCCTGGCTCATGCTTGTAATCCCAGCACTTTGGGAGGCCAAGGTTGGCAGATCTCCTGAACCCAGGAGTTCCAGACCGGCCTGGGCAACATGGCAAAACTTCATCTCTACAAAAAATTTAAAAAGTAGCCAGGTATGGTGGCACATACCTGCGGTCCCAGCTACTCAGGAGACTGAGGTAGGAGGATCACCGGAGCCCAGGGAGGTCGAGGCTGCAGTGAGCTATGACCTTACCACTGCACGCCGGCTTGGGTGGCAAGTGAGACCGTATACCAAAAAAAAATTTCTGTAATTTTTAAATAAAAAAATGCAACTTGTGTAATTGTGTTACCCTTAGAGTTTTAGTCACCTGATTTTGTGGCTAATGACTGTTATATTTTCCTTCTCAAAATTTAGAAAATTACCAAAGAAATGGATGACTTCTTGCAAAAATTGAGGCAGAAGATCAAAATCGGAGTGGTAGGCGGGTCGGACTTTGAGAAAGTACAGGAGCAACTGGGAAATGATGGTAAGTGATAGGTTGATGATTGTCTCTGCTAAAACATTAACTTCTTGTGAGGATATTGTGGCTGAATATCATAGGCTGCCCTGAATTCTTGTTCCCATATGACAGACTTTCTGCTTCCTTGTTTGGGAAACATTTTCATTTTTTATTTTTATTTTTTTATTTTTGGAAACATTTTCCTCAGCTTTTAATCCAGTAAATTTCAAGAGTTATTGATGGAGAACTGGGTACTCGGATGTGTGAGTAGATTCACCTAGGAAGGTCAGCTGCTGTGGCTTTGCACATGGTAATCTCTCTGCCTGGAATAATTCTTTTTTTTTTTTTTTTTGAGACGGAGTTTCGCTCTTGGTACCCAGGCTGGAGTGCAATGGCGTGATCTCGGCTCACCGCAACCTCCTTCTCCTGGGTTCAGGCAATCCTCCTGCCTCAGCCTCCTGAGTAGCTGGGATTACAGGCACGCGCCACCATGCCCTGCTAATTTTTTGTATTTTTAGTAGAGACGGGGTTTCACCATGTTGACGAGGATGGTCTCGATCACTTGACCTCGTGATCCACCCCGCCTCGGCCTCCCAAAGTGCTGGGATTACAGGCTTGAGCCACCATGCCCGGCCTGGAATAATTCTTACTTGTACCCATTCACTGCCCTTCTAGCCCTCGTCCGGCCGGTCTTCATATTGTCCCTCTGACAGCCTCTCTTACCTCCCCACCACTGGAACAGAATTGCCAGCACAGGACCCTAGAAAACTGGAGAAGCTTATTGACCCCTTTACTGGAGATTCTGACTTGATAAGTCAATGGGGCCTGGGAATCCTATCTTAGCAAGTACCTCTGAGAGATTCTAGTGCACAACCCTGCTAATGTAGCATTCTGTAATTATTGCAAACTATCTGATGATATGTTATGAAGAGCAGGAGTATGGATTATTTATCTCCATAGCCCCAGGACCTCTTGGCCTATAAGAAATTGTAAGTGGGTCAGGCATGGTGGCTCATGCCTGTAATCCCAACGCTTTGGGAGGCCAAGGCGGGCGGATCACGAGGTCAGGAGATTGAGATCATCTTTACTAACATGGTGAAACTCCGTCTCTACTAAAAATACAAAAAATTAGCCAAGTGTTGTGGCATGAGCCTGTAATCCCAGCTACTCAGGAGGCTGAGGCTGGAGAATCGCGTGAACCCAGGAGGCGGAGGTTGCAGTGAGTCAAGATTGCACCACCACCGCACTCCAGCCTGGGTGACGGAGCGAGGTTCCATCTCTAAAAAGAACAAAAAAAAGTAAGTGCAGAGATGGATGAATTGATTGTTCTTTTATCCCACATTGTCCCCAGAGTTCTCACATCTTGGAACCAGCTCCTCTAGAGCAAGATTTCTCAACCTCCGCACTATTGATATTTTGGACCAGTTAGGGCTGTCCTGTGCTTTGTAGGGTATGTAGCAACATCCCGGGCCTTTACCCACTACATGCCCGCGCAGCATACACACATGCACACATACAGCTATGACAACCAAAAATGTCTCCAGACATTGCCAAATGAGCTCCTGGTAAAATCACCCCCATTTGAGAACTGCTATTGTAAATACACCCTTTTTTTTTTGGAGACAGAGTTTTGTTCTTGTTGCCGAGGCTGGAGTTCAATGGCACAGTCTCAGCTCACTGCAACCTCTGCCTCCCAGGTTCAAGCAATTCTCCTGTTTCAGCCTCCCGAGTAATGAATTACAGGCATATGCCACATGCCCAGCTAATTTTGTATTTTTAATACAGACGGGGTTTCTCCATGTTGGTCAGGCTGGTCTCAAACTCCTGACCTCAGATGATCCACCCACCTCAGCCTTCCAAAGTGCTGAGATTACAGGCGGGAGCCACTGCGCCTGGCCTGTAAATATGATCTCTTAGAGTCCAAATCTGTGTAGACTGTATTTACTGGATCACCATTACTAGAAGACTTAGCTCTGCAATCCCTTTGAAACTCTGTTACACTTCTACTTCATTTCCCCTGTAGGTCTCCTACTTAGAAATGCTGTAAACCATGTACTGGGGATCATGAAGCCCTAAGAATCCTGTCCCCTGCTCAGGATCACTCCTTCTACTTCTAGTTTTCTATTTAACTACTTGTTCAGGGAAGTTTTGTCAGCGTAACATAGTGTCTGCACCTTTCAGAGACATGCAACAACAGAATCAAAACATTCACAAACTAAAAGATGGTTGAAGGCCCACCTTTATCAGAATCACCTGGGAAACTTATTGAAATACCAGTGTGGGGACCCCACCCAACACGTGGGGGATCTGCATTTTAACAGGTACCTAAAGTTTGAGAATCCCTTCATTCAGGTTGACAGCATGGATAGTTTCCAATCCAGACTGATTATAAGAATCACCAAAGAGATTTTTTTAAGACAGAGTCTTAGGCCGGGCGCGGTGGCTCAAGCTTGTAATCCCAGCACTTTGGGAGGCCGAGGCGGGTGGATCACGAGGTCAAGAGATCGAGACCATCCTGGTCAACATGGTGAAACCCCGTCTCTACTAAAAATACAAAAAATTAGCTGGGCATGGTGGCACGTGCCTGTAATCCCAGCCACTCAGGAGGCTGAGGCAGGAGAATTGCCTGAACCTAGGAGGCGGAGGTTGCGGTGAGCCGAGATCGCGCCATTGCACTCCAGCCTGGGTAACAAGAGCAAAACTCCGTCTCAAAAAAAAAAAAAAAAAAAAAAAAGACAGAGTCTTGCTCTCTGGCCCAGGCTGGAGTGCAGTGGTGTGATCTGGGCTCACTGTAACCTCTGCCTCCTGGGTTCGAGTGATTCTTGTGCTTCAGCCTCCCAAGTAGTTGGGACTGCAGGCGCCTGCCACCACGCCTGGCTAATCTTTGTATTTTTAGTAGACATGGGGTTTCACCATGTTGGGCAGGCTGATGTCAAACTCCTGACCTCGGCCTCCCAAAGTGCTGGTATAATGGGCGTGAGTCACTGCACCTGGCCACCAAAGCGTTTTTTGTTTGTGACAGAGTCATGGACTATCGCCTGGGCTGGAGTGCAATGCTGTGACCTCGACTCACTGCAATCTCTGCTGCCCGGTTTCCAGTGATTCTCCCACCTCAGCCTCCAGAGTAGCTGGTATTAGAGGCGCCCACCACCACACCCAGCTAATTTTTGTATTTTTAGTAGAGACAGGATTTCACTATGTTGGCCATGCTGGTCTCAAACTCCTGACCTCATGATCTGCCCACCTCAGCCTCCGAAAGTACTGAGATTACAAGCATGAGCCACTGCACCCAGCCCAAAGAGCTTTTTTAAAATATATGTAGCCTGTCCCTTGGTGATTCTGATTCAGGGAGCCGGAGAGCAGAGCTTGGAAATTGCATTTTCACTCACTGCCCTGGTTGCTGCTGTTGAACAGGGTCATGTTCAACATGATTCTTAGGGCTTCATGACCCATGAGGCTTGATGTCAGCATCATGGACCAGCATCTTCCTCTACAGATGAGCAGGCTGAAGTCAGGGACACATGACAATCTGTCACCAAGTCTCTTATCTCCTGTCCAGTTATAATTGAATTGTGTAACCAAAAAGCCATTTAAAAAATAATAAGGAACGTTTTTCCATACTCTTCTCTGTTTGTTTTGATGAGATAGTCTTTCACAGTCCTTATTAGAGTTGAGCAGTTTTGTTGGTAGTCATTGTTAATCAAGGAGTCGAAACACAGGTTTTGATTCATTGCATTCTAAGTGTTTTTGTTGTTTTGGTTGTAGTGCTTGAAAAATACGATTATGTGTTTCCAGAAAATGGCTTGGTAGCATACAAAGATGGGAAACTCTTGTGTAAACAGGTAGGTACTTGAGTTACTATGTTATATTAAGTGTATTCTAAAAGGGCATTTCACATTGAATGCCTCTGGGGAGATGAGGAATGGGCTCACTCTGTATTCTGTTTTGTTCAGAATGTTGAACTATGTGACTATTACATATTCTAAATTGATAAGTAAATTTTTATACTTTTAAAATCTAATATGTCTTTCTTTTTTTGTTTTGTTTTTGAGACGGAGTCTCGCTCTGTTGCCCAGGCTGGAGCTGGAGTGCAGTGGCACAATTTTATCTCACTGCATCCCCTGCCTCCCTGGTTCAAGCAGTTCTTGTGCCTCGGCCTCCCCAGAAGCTGGGATTACAGGCACATGCCACTATGCCCAACTAATTTTTGTATTTTTAGTAGTGTCTGGGTTTTACCATGTTGGCCAGGCTGATCTCTAATTCCTGACCTCAAGTAATCCATTCACCTCGAGCTTCCAAAGTGCTAGGATTACAGGCATGAGCCACCGTGCCCAGCCTTTTCTTTCTTTTTAAAGGATGGGGTCTTGCTGTGTTACCCAAGCTGGAGTACAGTGGTACAATCCTAGTAGGCTAGAACTCCTGGGCGTAGGTGATCTTCCTGCCTCAGTCTCCCAAGTAGCAGGGACTAAAGGCACGTGCCACCTTGCCTGGCTTTAAATCTATTAATAACATTTCTATGATGATAAAACTAGAGCAGGCTGCCTCTAAGAATTTTTTTTTTTTTTCTTTTTTGTGACAGTGTCACTCTGTTGCCTAGGCTGGAGTGCAGTGGCTCAATCTTGGCTCTCTGTAACCTCTGCCTCCTGGGTTCAAACGATTCTTCTGCCTCAGCCTCCCTAGTGGCTGGGATTACAGGCATCCACTGGCACGCCCAGCTCATTTTTGTATCTTTAATAGAGACGGGGTTTCACCATTTGGCCAGATTGGTCTCGAAGTCCTAACTCAAGTGATCCACCCGCCTTAGCCTCCCAAAGCGCTGGGATTACAGTTGTGAGCTGCCACGCTTGGCCACTATAAGCATTTTTAAGAGATGGTGTGTAGCTCTTAGTAGTAGTAAGATCATTCTGTTCAGACATAAGAGAATGCCTAAGTGGAACAAATACATTTCCTAACAATATCCGGAGATATTTTAATTGAATGAAAGTGGCAGCAGTAAGCTCTTTGGGCCTTACAGGAAGCATTTGAACAATAATGAATAAAAAATCTTGGGTAATGAAGCGGAAAATGCTTTTGACTAAAGCCTATCTGGCTTGCCTAATGTTTTTGACCAGAGAAATAAGAGAAGGAATTAAATAGGCAGTGGGGCATGTCACCATCACTGCTACATCAGCCTAGTGATTTTCAACAATAGTGACTGAAGAGCCTGGGTTTGTTATAAAGCTGTTTTGAAAATGCTCCTGCTGAATGAAATAACTCAAGTATTTTCTTTGTCTAGAATATTCAAAGTCACCTGGGTGAGGCCCTAATCCAAGATTTAATCAACTACTGTCTGAGCTACATTGCAAAAATTAAACTCCCAAAGAAGAGGTGGGTTTGCTTTTAACCAAGAGGTATCGCTGGAATATAGCGTAGTGTCATATGGTGGGTTAATGTGGACGTTCTCCAAATAGGATTCTAAGAATCACCTAGAGTTTTAAAAACAAAATCTGATATTTAGCCCACCCCTTGGCAATTCTGATTCAGAAAGCCTGAGAGCCGAGCTTGGAAATCCACGTTTTCTCTGGCTGCTCCGGTGCTACTGGTTCACAGCAGGGTTTAGTGGCCACCATGGGCCAGCTAATTTAAATCCAAAGCCCAGCAGTTAGTAAGGAATAATTGGAAACAGTCCACAAAGCCAACAGTATAAGAATGATTGCATAAATGATGGCTTGTCCACATGACGGAAATTTATACAGCCATTGAAGACCGTATGCTTTCAAAGGCTGTCAGCAAGAGGAAACAGCAGTGAAAACAGCATGTGTACAAAAAGCAACAGAAACTAGATCTGGATGTCTCAGACAGGAAGCCTTTGGGCCAGATCCATGTAAAACACAAATCTGGTTGGCCTGTAATGTTAAAGAAAATCTGGATGAATTGCCATCATGTAAAAGTTGAATTTTACATTTGTTTTATTATTTATTTTTGAGACAGAATCTCACTTTATGACCCAGGCTGGAGTGCAATGGCAGGATTCTGGCTCACTGCAGTCTCCACCAGGTTTAAGCAATCCTTCTGCCTCAGCCTCCTGAGTAGCTGGGATTACAGATGCATACCACTGTGCCCAGCGAAGTTTGTTTTGTATTTTTAGTAGAGACAGGGTTTCATCATGTTGGCCAGGCTAGTCTCAAACTCCTGACTTCAAGTGATCCACCCATCTCAGCTTCCCAAAGTGCAGGGATTACAGGTGTGAGCCACTGTGCCCGGCCCTATTTTATGTTTTAGACATCTGGGTTTCTGGCTTCTGTTGGCAAATTTAAGACCTGGCTACTCTGGGTCCCCATTACCCCCTGGCAGCTGTCACCTGAACAGCTGCCACCTGACCCATGGACATGGGTCCAGTCTTTCACAGACGGCTTCCCTAATTTTCTGACTCCATAGGCTTGCTTTCTTTTTTGAGGGGGGCGAGGAGAGAGAGAGACAGGATCTTGCCCTGTTGCTCAGGCTGGAGTGCAGTGGCATGATCATAGCTTACTGCAGCCTCAACCTCCTTGGCTCAGCTGATCCTCCCACCTCAGCCTACTGAGTAGGTGAGACTACAGGCTCATGCCACCACACCTGGCTAACTTTATAGAGACAGGGTCTTGCCATGTTGCCCAGACTTGCCTCAAACTCCTGGCCTCAAGCCATCCTCCCACCTCAGTCTCCCAAATGTTGGGATTACAGTCATTAGCCACTGCCCCTGGCTTCCATCAGTGTTTGATTTGGGGACCTATCTTCTGCCGTGGGTGCTATTATTACCTCAATTCCATTTTTAAAATAATAGTAATAATAATGAACATAATGCCCGCAGTAAAAAGACTGGCAGGAAATAGACCCAAATGCTAACAGTGGCTGTTTCTTGATGGTGAGGTTACAGATGATTTCTTTGAAATACTTCTCATTTTTCCCCCTAGTTTTCAACGCTGATTACGTAACACCTTAATCATCAGGGTCGGAAACATGTTTTAAGTGGCAATTCAATTTCAGGGCAGTCTGTACTTCAGAGGCTGCTTTACACTATTAGGATTCATATTCATAACCCGAGTGCCTCCTGCTCAGCACCTCCAGCCAGAGTGCAGCAACGTCCCTTAGCCCAAGAGGAGGCCTGCATGAGACGGGCTGGACCTGTACTTGGTGATTGTTGCAGCTGGGTGGTGGGTACATGAGGACTCGTCCTATGCTGTTTACTTTTGTGTGTGTTAGAAATTTTCCATGGCAAAAAGATAAAATATGCAAATACCCCGGTTCAGTTCCATTTTTACTTTGGGCCGAGCACTAAGGGAGGATTCAAAAAAAAAAAAAGGTATAATCCTGTCTTCAAAGAGTGTATCATCTAGTGAGAAAGAGGAATGTGGAGAGCCGTAATTCCAGAATAGAAAAGACCTGGTGAATCCAGGAGGCACAACTGAGACCCCCCTTGACCCACATCTTTACACATTTTCCTGACAACACTAACCACAAGGCCCATGTTGGCCAGGCAGATGCATTAAGACTCAGAGAGCCCCCAGGTCTTCTGGGTGGAACTGAATGCTTGGTAAACCACCTTCATCCTTCTTTCTTTCTTTTTTTTTTTTTTTTTTTTTTTTTTGAGATGGACTCTCACTCACTCGCCCATGCTGGAGTGCAGTGGCACGAGCTCTGTTCACTGCAACTTCCACCCCTGAGGTTCAAACGATTCTCCTGCTTCAGCCTCCCTATTAGCTGGAATTGCAGGCACTGGCCATGATGCCTGGCTAATTTTTGTATTTTTAGTAGAGTTAGGGTCTCTCCACCTTGGCCAGGTTGGTCTCAAACTCCTGGCCTCAAGTAATAGCCCTACCTTGACCTCCCAAAGTGCTGGGATTACAGGTGTGAGCTCCCACGCGCAGCCAGGGAAGGCTTTCTAAACTGTATCATCTCTCTGTGCCTTGGAAATGAGAAGAATATGTCCTTGAGTGGGGGGAAATGAATTGAGCTCTTTTTCTGATCATTAGGGCCCATAGCCCTAGGGTCACCCAGGGCGTGGTCACCAGTCCTCTAGTTCCTTAGTGCACATGCGGAAGTGGTAGAGGACAGGCTGGGCCTCTGCCATCTCTAGGACGACCTGGACATGGGATTGAGAGAGATTTTTAGACTTGCAATTTTTGTTACATCATTTGCCTCTTTCGCTGCAGTTTGAGCACAGCTGGGGAGAGGATCCCGCTGATTGAGATTCTGCTGTTTTTGCTTTGATATGTATTCATTGCTTCCCAATTTACAAAGTACTTTTACATAACTGGCACATGTGATTTTCACAAGGCCTTTTGGAGGTAACCAGAGCGAGTGCCGTCAGCCTTTCTGTAAGTGAGTAAGGGACAGCTTGGAGAGGTGCCCAGAGCCACACAGCCTCCTAAGAGGCCACACTGACATGGAATCAGGTCCTCAGCCCTGCCTGTGGCATGTGGCCTTTCAGATGGCCAGTGCCTGGAGATCAAGTCTGTGAGATTAAAATAGTAGAAAAAAATCAGGGGAAATATTTCCTAGGGTTCCCAGGCATCAGCGTTTAGAATTAGAAGACATTTTTCACTGCATAGTTTGTCAGAGAATGCTTAAATTTCATCTGTCAGAATGATACCTAGCTTACAAGTTATATGAACTTTTAAGAAACTGGGTGGTGGGGTTTTGTTTGTTTGTTTTGGTTGTGGGGTGTTTGTTTTTGAGACAGAGTCTCTGTCGCCCAGGCTGGAGTGCAGTGGTGCAGTTTAAGCTCACTGCAACCTCCGACTCCCAGGTTCAAGCAATCCTCCTGCCTCAGCCTCTCAAGTAGCTGGGACTACAGGCATGCACCACCATGTCTGGCTATTTTTTGTATTTTTGGTCGAGACAGGGTTTCATCATGTTGGCCACGCTGGTTCCTCAAGGAATCTGCCCACCTCAGCCTCCCAAAGTGCTAGGATTACAGGCTTGAGCCAGACTCAAATTGGAAACAGTGAGGAAAAAAACTTTGTTTTTTGAGACAGGAGTCTCCCTCTGTTGGCCAGGCTGTAGTGCCGTGATGCGATCTTGGCCCACTGCAACCTCCATCGCCCAGGCTGAAACGATACTCCTGCCTCAGTCTCCCAAGTAGCTGGAATTACAGGCATGCGCCACTGTGCTCACCTAATTTTTGTATTTTTTGTAGAAACGGAGTTTCACCATGTTGCCCAGGCTGATCTCAAACTCTTGAGCTCAAAGCATCCACCTGCCTTGGCCTCCCAAACTGCTGAGGTCGCAGGTGTGAGCCACCGCATGCATGCCAAAAGAACGTCTTTAGACATCTTCATTTGAAGTGTCTAAACTAAGGGTCTCATTTTCTGTGATGAAGTCAAACGTTTAGGAGCTGTCTGCCACTGGGCAAATTGAATTTCCTTAGTTATTACTGAGGCTCGTTGGACAATTCTTAGAACTTTTTTCTGTGTAGCTATGCTTAGTACTGTCAGTCTATTCAGAAGGTCAGTAGCAAAATAAGTATCTGGTACATGTATTTTCAAACTCCTCAGGGAGCTGACTGCTGTTGCCAGTGCTGGAATTCATTTTCATAGCTCTTTATTAACCATAAAATTATCTGCCCGGTAGCAGCACAGTCCAACAGAAATAGAAAGTGAGCTGTATATGATTTTCAATTTTCTGTAGCCACATTGTGAACAAAAAGGGGTGAAATGAATTTTAATAATATATTTTGTTTAGCCCAATAAATCTAAAATATAACCTCTTTTCTTTTTTGAGACAGGATTCTCACTCTGTCATTCACTCTGGAGTGCAGTGACTTGATCTCAGCTCACTGCAACTTTTGCCTCGAAGGCTAATGCAGTCCTGTGTCAGCCCCCCGAGTAGCCGGGACTGTAGGCACGCATCACCATGCCCAGCTAATTTTGTATTTTTTGTAGAGACAAGCGTTTCACCATGTTGTCCAGCCTCAAAACGTAACCATTTTAACACAAAGTCAATATACAACATGACTGACGTGATTGCATTCCTTTTTCATAGTAAGTCTTTCAAATCTAATCTCAATTTCAGATTAGCCACGTTTTAGGTCTAAATAGTCGCAGTGGTTCATGGCTACCGTATCGCACAGCACAGAGCTGAGAAACATTGACCCCACCAGCCTCTGCTTTTTAGAATTTCCCGAGATTTTAGGCTATTTATGATGTTGCCTGGAGTAATGTGTTTTGGGGAACCTCTGTCACCTTTTCATTCCCAGGGGTACTTTCATTGAATTCCGAAATGGGATGTTAAATGTGTCCCCTATTGGAAGAAGCTGCAGCCAAGAAGAACGCATTGAGTTCTACGAACTCGATAAAGTAAGTCTTTCTGAAATATCTTTGGTGAATGGCTGGGTTTATGAAAATAAGACAAGACATGGCCCGATGTGGTGGTTCATGCCTGTAATCCCAAGACTTTGGGAGTCCAAAGCAGGAGGATCACTTGAGCCCAGGAGTTCAAGACCAGCCTGGGCAACATAGTGAGACCTCATCTCTACAAATAATAATAATAATAATAAAATAGCTGAGCCTGGTGGCTTGCATCTGTGGTCCCAGCTATTTGGCTGAGGTGAGAGGATCACTTGAGCCTGGGAGGTTGAAGGTGCTGTGAGCTGTGATCATGCCCCTGCACTCCAGACTGGGTGACAGAGTGAGACCCCATCTCAAAAACTAAACTAAATGAGTAAGTAAATAAGATAGTCACCTTGTGGCCGGTAGTTTAAAGTATGCTTTCTAAACTGCAATACAAGAGATGGTATCGTTTTGTTTTTCCCAGAAAGAAAATATAAGAGAAAAGTTTATAGCAGATCTACAGAAAGAGTTCGCGGGAAAAGGCCTCACATTTTCCATAGGTATTGTATATATTGTCTGTGTTCTAGACTTGGATACCCATTTCCCAGAATGTGTTGTGGGCCAGTAAGCTATTGATAATGGAGTATGCACAGTTTTAGGTGGGTGGGAAGATTACATGAGCAGTCCAACCTGTAGACAAAAACCAGCCACTCTCTTCTGCCATAATAGGACTTGCCTAGTCAGGAAACAGCTTCCAGACTGTTGGCTTTGGTCTAAATTCTTACCCAACAGGATTCTTCCTACCTGCACTTCTCTGGTCAAAAGAGGAGCACTTTGATTACTAGAGTAGGAATTTCAGTCAGATGCAGTGGTTCACACCTGTAATCCCAGCACTTTGGCAGGCTGAGGTGGGTGGATCACCTGAGGTCAGGAGTTTGAGGCCATCCTGGTGAAACCTCATCTCCACTAAAAATAAAAAAATTAGCATGGTGGTGTGCGCCTGCAGTCCCAGCTTAGCTAATGAGGAGGCTGAGGCAGGAGAATTGTTTGAACCTGGGAGGCAGAGGTTGCAGTGAACTGAGATCGGGCTGCTGCACTCCAGCCTGGCGACAGAGTGAGACTCCATCTCAAAAAAAAAGAAACTTCCCACACCTTTGGGCAGAAGAAAAGCACAATAGTGAACTCTGTAAGAGAGACATGGAATTGAACCCCTTAGGTAAACTAGACTGATGTTTTGGAATCATGTAACGTTTCAACAGCAAGGATGTTTGAACAGCAAGGAACCGTAGGAGCCACTTGGGTTCCTTTTATAGATCAAGAAACTGAGGCCCAGAAAGGAGAAGAGACTTGTCCAAGTTCACAAAACTGTTGTTTACACAGCCCATGTGTGAACATTTCTGGTGTCTAATGCAGGGTTCTTCCTGTAACATGGATGTCTCGGGCTTGTCTTCTGTTAGAATATGCCTGTCAAATGCTTCACACACCAGTGTCTCTTGTCAGTGCAAATGAGTCATTGCTCAAAGCCTCCTCCTTTTACTAGCTTTCATAAAGGTAGAGGTTGTAGGAACACTGGAATGGCAAAGGGATTATATTTAACAGATGAGTGGGTGGGCTGTTCTCGTGAACTGGGAGATGGACATCTTTCTGACAAAGCTTTGAAAGGGTTTTTGTTTCCCATGACAGCTGCCTATAAATCACCTTCAGTGAAGATTTTCATTTTTCCTGCAAAATAGGCCACATGCAGCCTGCTTCCAGGCATTTACCACTGAGCGTGTGTTAGAGCTTGAGATAAGCACAGCAGAGTGAGGCTGCTATCAGATTTTTCATAAGCATGCTTCATTTAAACCACATGCTTGACAGGGCGCTTAAATGCAAATGCATTTCTCCCTTGGAGTTGGCACCCTGTGTCTCAATTTTAGACCGAGGTGAAATAATGCTGGAAAAAAACATAATGTAGAATGAATTTCTAGAGCCTGTCCATGAAGTAGTCCAAGTGGCAAACTAGGGTACTCAAAATCGCCTTGGCAATCCACTGACTGACAAAGAGTAAACTGTTTCTTTCAGTGCCGTATCATTAGCCTCTCTTTCACCTTCTGCTTTTGTGTCCCTCATCCCCACCCGGCAGGAGGCCAGATCAGCTTTGATGTCTTTCCTGATGGATGGGACAAGAGATACTGCCTGCGACATGTGGAAAATGACGGTTATAGGACCATTCATTTCTTTGGAGACAAAACCATGCCAGTACGTAGGGAACTGTTTGTGCAGCTTCGTTGTTCTATTTGGGCTTGACGGGGAAAATTGACAAATGGGCTGTTTTTCCCACACCCACACTTGACCCACTGGCCCTGCTCAAAGTGAGCAGTGGCTTCCGTCCTGGAGTTGGGGGGCATTGAGCCTCCTTTCCCTCTGAGCTCAGACCTGCGACACCTCCATGGAGGCGACGGTCACACTGTGTGTTAGTTGATCCTTTTCAGTTTGGCTTTGGAGTTAAACGTTGGCCACCCGATGTGCCTTCTAGATCACAAGTCCCCAGTGCCGCCGTCAAGCCCTCTGCGTTTCAAAGCTCTCGCTGCTTCCGTCTTAGTTTTCTACTGTATTTGTGCCCCTGAAGCATTCATTTGAAGTTGAACATGGAGGGCCATGAACTATGGGAGGACAGGGAATGATCTCAGGAGCCTGAAACTCAGGAGAGGGCATTAGCGACAGTGAAAAGGCTGAGTGAGTCCCAGACGTCACACACAGTGGGTACTTGGAGCTGCCCCCAAGGGATGTCAGAAATCCCAAGTCCAGGACCAAATCTAAACTGGAAATGGGAGAGCAGAGCCCAGTGTTAAAGGCCGGGGCCAGCAGGAGAAATACATAGAAGAAATGTCCCCAGGCGTCCTCTCCCTGGGACAAGGTGGATCCCCAGCAGGTCAGAGAGGCATTGCTGCCATCAAGGGCCCAGCAGCAGTTGCTCACCACCCACCCAGCTTAGGGCCAGCTCCTTTTTTTTTTTTTTTTGAGACGGTGTCTCACTCTGTCACCCAGGCTGGAGTGTGCAGTGTTGTAATCTTGGCTCACTGCAACCTCTGCCTCCCAGGTTTAAGCAATTCTTGTGCCTCAGCCTCCTGAGTAGATTATTACAGGCATGCGCCACCACACCTGGCTAACTTTTGTGGTTTTGGTGGAGATGGCGTTTTACCATGTTGGCCAGACTGATCTCAAACTCCTGGGCTCAAGCCATCTACCTGTTTCAGCCTCTCGATGTTCTAGGGTGACAGGCATGAGCAACCGCGCCAGGCCCCATCACCTTTTCAGTTCCTCTCATTGTCTGGGCCTCTCTGCTTCCCTCCCACAGGCAGCCTGGGAGTGTGCATTACCTTGCCATCAGCAGGCCCCTTTCAGGCTCTCTTGCCGTCCTGCACCCAGCAGGTGCATCTTAAATGCTGCGTATTCAGAGTTTTTCATCCCTCTGATCTCTGGTCCACTCCAAAATCCCTGCTGCTCTGCTAAGATCTGCCCATGCAAAGTGTGCCTTTCGGCAGGGTCCCCATGCCACAGTCTTCCAGCATGAGGGGTCCTTGAGGATAGTAGAAGCTTGTTTCTTGCTTTCAGAATGATAAAACTGGAACTCATAAAGGGCAGGGGATTTGCACAAGGTCACATAGCTAATGACAGAGCCGGTGGCACCAAAAGTCGACCTGTTCTTTGTATGTGTTAAATGGCTTTATTGAAGTGAAATTGATAAAAGCTGCACATTTTTGACATTCAGTTTCATGAGTTTAATCATTGTGCCCCTTTGGTTTTGGGGGTGGTTTGAGATTTTTTTTGTTGCTATTGTTATAAGAACACTTAACATGAGATATTCCCTCTTAGCAATTTTCTAAGTGCACAATACGGTATTGTGAACTATAGGCACTTCTGTTTGTCCAGCAGAGCTGTCGAACTTACACATCTTACATAACTGAAACTTTACGCCCATTCAACAACTGCTCTCCATCTCCCTCTTCCACCACCCGGTCCCTGGCAACCACCATCGTTTGCTCTGCTTCTATGACTTTAGCACTTTTAGGTATCTGATACAAGTGGAATCATGCAGTATTCATCCTTCCGTGAGTGGCTTATTTCACTCAATATGTCTTCTCGGTTTACCCATGCTATCGCAAATGGCAAGATTGCCTTCTTTTTTAAGGCTGAATAATGTTGCATTGTAGAATATACTACATTTTCTCTTTTTTTTTTTTTTTTTTCTTGAGGGAGTCTCACTGTGTCACCCAGGTGGGAGTGCAGTGGTGCGATCTTGGCTCACTGCAACTTCTGCCTCCTTGGTTCAAGCTATTCTTCTACATGAGCCTTCTGAGTAGCTGACAGGTGCCCACCACCGCACCCAGCTAATTTTTTATTGTTAATAGAGACTGGGCCATGCCTGGCCAGCCTGTCCTCAAACTCATGACCTCAAGTGATCTGCCCACCTCGACCTCCCAAAGTGCTAGGATCATAGGCATGAGCTACCACACTCAGCCAGGATGACTATTTTTTAATTTTATTTATTTATTTGAGATGGATTTCACTCTTGTTGCCCAGGCTGGAGTGCAATGGCGTGATCTCGGCTCACTGCATCCTCTGCCTCCTGGGTTCAAGCAATTCTCCTGCCGCAGCCTCCCAAGTAGCTGGGATTACAGGCACATGCCACCACACCCAGCTAATGTGTGTGTGTATTTTTATATTTTTAGTAGAGATGGGGTTTCTATATGTGGGTCAGGTTGGTCTTGAACTCCCAACCTCAGGTGATCAACCTACCTCAACCTCCCAAAGTGCTAGGATTACAGGCATGAGCCACTGCGCCCAGCCCAGGATGGCTATTTTTTAAAAAATGTTGGCAAGGGTCTAGAGAAATTAGAACTCTTGTGCAGTATTGTGGGAAATGTTAAATGTCATAGCCATGGTGGAAAACTATGTAGTCATTCCTCAAATTAAAAATAGCACTGCCATGTGATCGGCGGTCCCACTTGCAGAGAGATATCCAAAATAACTGAAACTAGGTTCTCAAAGAGATACCTGCTCTTGAAAAAAAATAAAGACAGGGTCTTGCTGTGTTGCCCAGGCTGTGCTCGAACTCCTGAATTCAAGCAGTCGTCCGGCATCAGCCTCCCAAGTAGCTGTGATTACAGGCATGCACTACCACAACCAGTGATACCTGCTGTTTAAATGAGTGTGCCTTCCACTATAATAAGCTCTCTCTCAGTGGGGCAGGAAGATCTTGTAAATCCCAATGAACTGGGTACTTTGAATATGTGTAGTATTCAAGTATTTTCTTGCAGACAGTTAGAAATGGTTTTATAACGACATCCTTTTGTTGAATGGCTTTTGATGCAGAAATGCTTTCAATGCAGGCTTTGAAAAAGATCACTATCTGACTTCATGTCTTTAAAAAAATTAAGCTAATGAAATGACACCCCATATCTAAGGAATGCCCAGAAGCTTCCTCAGTCCTTCTCTAGTTTGGTACCATTTCTTACAGACAGAGAGGAGAGCTGTTGAGACACACTACAGCAGATTGTTCTGTAATGATGACATTGTTGCTTCATGTAAATAGCCATCTAGAGGCCTCAGTAGGGACTTTGCAGAATGGAACGCAGTTCTTGGATAATCAGAAAATGACTTCTTTTGGGAATTCATTTGGGAAAGGGAGAGTTTTCTATTCTGTTTAACCATTGCATTACCATGCTTAGATTCTATTTTTAAAATCTTACCTACTTTTAAAAAATGAATATTTAATGGAAGGCTTTTTCCCGATTGTAAATTAAATTGTGCATTCTTTATAGAAAATCTGTGAAGAAGAAAAGGAAGGTCACCTGTAATAATCCAACAACATCCCAGCCTCTCTAGCTGTGTGATCCCAAAAGTGGGATCCTTACCTGTTATTTTTGTTTTAGTTTTCTTTCTCTTAGCATATTTTATTTTTCTCATGTTAGTGACTATTCTTTGCAGAGAAGATTTTTAATGGCTGTATAAGATTCTATCATTAGGCATAGTTTATCCACGCCCCTTATAGAGACACACTGGGTGGTTTAAGAGTTTTTGCTTTTAAAACTAATGCTGTGGTGAACATTCTCGCACAATTCTTTGCCCCCTTCTCTGATCCTTTTCGTCAGCGGTTTTCTAGAAATGGAAATTAGCAGTCCAACCATCTAAACCTTCAAACATATCAGTTCTTGAAATGCTAGGCACAGAGCAATCCAAATACTAGCCTTAGACTTTTCATTTTCAGTGATAGAAAGCTGGGCTTTTTCCTTTCCTAATGAAGCTTACTGCTTTTGTTGGCTTGCAGGGAAATGGCCCTGAGCTGAGAGCTGTCAGTAAAACAAGCCATTTCTTAGCCAGGCCCTGAGGCTTAGCAGCCTGCCAGCAGCCCCTTCCGGCAGCACAGGCTCGAGGAGGCAGGGTCTGGTGTTACATAAAGGATGCCCTCTGCTTGGAGCAACTCAGGAGAGCAGAGTGAAGAAAAGAGGTGTTGGCCATTGCTTTTCAAAATACCATCTTCAGAAACCCTGTCATTCTTCCCATGAGCCACAAAAGCCAGCATTTCTTAAAACCTGGCTCATGAGTTGAACATGGAGGCCCTGGGCCTGGCATGGAGTACCTTGGTTTGCTGTAGAGAGAGATGGCAAAGGCAGAGAGGACAGCACCACACATGGTTCCACATGGCTTTCTGCAGGAATCACACCGGTTGGATCACCCTTCAGTCACCCTGAATTCGCAGGCAAGAGAGCCTCTACTTATCCATGCTTTCCGTGAAAGTCATCTTGCCTTTAAGACAGTTGCAGCATGAATACTTTGAAACACTTCATAAACATTAGCAGCTGGGTTCGTTTTTGACTGAGCGTTTCCATTTTGGGTAATTTGGCTATCAGTGCACTCAAGTAAGTGTGAAAGATTCAAGCAGAGGGTTTGGGTTTGGGGACAGCCCCCGCTGCTCCTCAGGAGGCTGGCCCCAGAACAGTGGTCTGTCTCAGCCGTGGGATGCCACGTAGCTGTAAAAACAGTCCATGTGAACCCATCTGTAGGGCTTTTTGTTAGGCAAACAAAGCAAAGTGCCGGACAATATTAGTAATGTGCTACATTTTTGTCTGAAGAGGGGAAAAGAATTTATCTTAGCTTATAAATGCATAAAAGGAATCTGAAAGGATGAAAATTATAGGGGTTACTATAGGGATGGGGACAAGGACCGGAAAGATAATTGCCACCTAGATCTTATT